TGACAGCTGCCCATCCTGGCTCCAACAGAAGCCACCTGCTTTTTGTCAACACAGCATTGTAAGAAGCTTGTGATATTAATCTCTGATATTTTGGTATCATAGGTTATCAGTTGCTTGTTTCTTTCTTTCTCCTTTTTGAAATATGAATGCACAGGCTAACGGCAGGAGATATATCCATTAAATAATAATAAAAAAAATAATAATAAAGAAAAAGGAAAAAGAAAGAAGCAGCAAAGCCCCAGAGGCACTGACACCACCAGAAGTGAAGCATGCTCTACATCAAGCACATTAACAGTTCCGAATGCAAACCAAGTTCCTCTCATGGAATATCTTCTCCCCAGGTGCAAAGCTGAACTGTCAAGTACAGCTTCTAAAATTATGCCTATTTTGTCAGGTCCTACACATGGATGACAGGTTTCCAGCAGGAGGGCCTAAAGTGAAGTTATTATGTTAAATAGAGGTATCAAGTTGAAAGCAGAGATTAATGTCAGTTATCTTAGGAGAGGGAAAAAAAAAACCAAGTGGTTCCTTGAGAGCTTTTGAATTTTGGAAATTACAATGAAAAAAAAAAATTCAGCAAGACACAAAATGGCATCCAATACAAGTTTAGATGTGGTGAGAAGGGATGTAGTCAGTGGGGCAATATTGGTGGTAGGTGGATGGTTGGACTGGATGATCTTAAGAGCTCATTTCCAACCTTGGTGATTGTATGCTTCTATGAAGTAAAAATGAGTGTTTGGAAGCGCATGGGGAACTACATTTTTTTTCCCCAGCATGCACACAGGAGACAAACTAATAATAGAAACCTCATGGGAAATGCTGTAGTAGATCAAGAACTACAGACAAATCAGTAAAACCCAACAAATTTGGCAGAGAACGCTAATTGGAGACAGGAGTGGAAGGAGCTCGAAGAGAACTATCATTCAGGAGAAGGAGAACTTGGATTTTAATTGGCAGGATGACAAAATAATGCGTCAGCTAAGGAGCTGCATCTGTAATTTAAATGCATTACTGAAGAGAAATTTTATTTTCACTATTTGGACCTGGAAATGTTTCTTCATTCGACTGTACTGTGGTACAAACACTCCAAATGCATAGTTGAGTACTCTCATTAACTTCTAGAAAAAATTATGACAAACAAGCAAAAAAAAAAAGTAACCACAATAGTGCACAGTCTAATTCCATAACTAGAAAGCCTAAGCAAAATGCACAACAAATTAAAAAGCTAAACATCCAGTAAGTTCAAGAGGAAATAGCTGATCAGACTACAGAAGTCATTAAAAAGTCTAACTTTCTATGAAGTTACACATTCTCTTCTTTCAATTCATTTCCGTAAGCATGTATTGAAGATTATTTGCTACATGATATAAACAAATGTGGATGCTGCAGCTGAAAACATTTAGAACTGCCCTAATGGCTTTGTTTAGAATCGTTTCTATTATGCATGAAGCCCAGAAAACCCGTTGTCAATTCCATTGTCTCTCACAATAGCAACAGCTATTATTGAGCCATTAAATACAAACATTATCTCCAAGCTGTATGCCAATTTCTGAGTTTTCACCTTTTTAAAGCAGAATACGCTCCACAAAACAGCATTATTTTTACAACCTGTATAAATCTCTCTGTTGAAATCTATTTAAATGTGTTTGTTTGTTTTTTTTTTTTCTCTAATCATTCTCAGATTATTTTACAAAGGTTTCCAATGTTTAGAAACAGGACTCGAGTTAAATAGGTATGAAAGTTTGTAATGTATATTCTAATATTCAGAAGTTACTGAAGCCTGGAATAGGAACAAGCACAAAACACTACACACACCTCATTATTCACAAGCACAGGTAAAGAGCTGGCCTGGCACCAGCAGCTTCAGAAGCTGGCCAACACAGAAGCTGTGTTTTCACATTGTAAAGGAAAGATTGCTGCAGGGAGCTCAGCTACACAGCACAGAGGTGTAAAGCTGAGGTGTGAGTTGGGGGAAAATGAACAAGCAGGGTGTAAAAGCAGACTTGTACACACGATCACCGCTGCTGCTGACCCTGTGCAGGCTGCTACAGCTGCCAATGAGGTGACTAAGCAAGGAGTTGAGAAACACACAGCCCAGAGTCTGAGAGCTATGAAACTATTCAAACAACTTCAACAGTAGAACTTAAATTCTTTTTTTTTTTTTCTTTTAATTATGAGCAGGTTACAAATATTCGTACTACCAAGTAAGTCTCTAGCCTGATCTGAATACCTGATCTGCACAGGAGCACCTATCCACATGCATATGAAGCCACATAAATGAGGTGAGAGAGAAATAAATGTGAATGTTCCTAGAATGCCCTTTGGCAACATTTGCCAATTTGGAACAGCAGTCCCAGCTTTTGTGCCTACATTCAAATAGCACAACTCTGTTATCCAAATATCAACGTAAGGTGCACACACACGCGGTCACAGAATTGTAGGGGATGGAAGGGACTTCCAGAGAGCATCGAGTCCAACGCCCTGCACTGCAGGCTCTCCACAACAGGCTGTACTGGTAGGTGTTCATGAGTGTCTTGACTATCTCCAGAGAAGGAGACTGCAAAACCCAGGTGGGCAGCCTGTTCTAGTGCTCCATCACTATGAAGTTCTTCTGTATATTGGTGAGCAACTTCCTGTGCTCCAAGTTATGGCTATTTCCTCTGTGCTGTCCCCACAAACTGCTGAAAAGAGGTTGGCAATGCCCCTTTGTCTCCCACACTTAAGATATTTACAAAAATGAATAAGATCCCCTCTGGATCTTCTTTTCTCAAGGCTGAACAGACCCAGTTCACTCAGCCTTTCCTCATAAAGGAGATGCTCCAACCCTTTATCATCTTAGTGGCCTTCCACTAAAAAAAGATCCATCTTTTTTGTACTGGGGAGCCCAGAGCTGGGTACAGTACTCCAGATGAGGTCTGACCAGGGCAGAGTACAGGGGGAGGATCATGACGTGCTGGCTACCCTCCTTTTAATGCATCCCAGTATATCGCTGGCCTTCTGGGCCACAAGGAAACACTGCTGGCTCATGGCCACCCTGTTCTCTACCCCCAAGCCCTTTTCTGCCAGAGCTCCTCTCCAGCAGGTCATCCCCCAAACCATACTGACACTCACTGTTATTCCTTCCCAGGTGCAAGACTCTATGTGTTTTTTTTTTGTTAAATCTCATCTAGTTTCATACAGCCCAGCTGTATGGCAGCACAGCCTTCTAGCATCAGCCAGCACAGCATCAGCCACTCTTCCCAGCTTTATATCGCTGGTGTACATGCTGAAGATGGACACTATCCCCTTGTCAAGGTAAATAAAGATAAAGATGTTAAACAAAACTGGACGCAGCACCAACCCTTGGGCAACACCACACGTCACAGGTCTCCAACAAGACTCTTCCCCCTGACATCCAACCTAAATCTCCCCTCCCTCAACTTCAAACCATTTTTCCTTGTTCTGCAGTTATCTACCCTTTTGAAAAGCTGCTTTCCCTCCTGTTCGTAGACTCCCTTTAGGTACTGATAGGCTGCAATGAGGTCACCCCACAGCCTTCTTCATAGGTGAAGTGCTCGAGTCCCCTGATCATCTTTTTGTGGCTCTCCTCTGGAACCTCTCCGACAGCTCCCTGTCTTTCTTGTATTGGGGGCTCTATACAAACAGTAAACAGAAGGAAACAAAAACCACTTTTTATTTTCCTTGCCACAATACACATCATATTTTCCAAAGCATTGCAGGCAGATGCAAAGTCATTTTGTTTCAAGCTTTGAGATCCAGGCTAGCTGCAGTTTTCTCAAAGCAGAAATACCCCCCCCGACAGCCCGTAATACTGAGCTGCAAGTTTAGGTCTGTCTGCTAATAAAAGAAACATCAAATTGAAAGTAGTTTACCAGTCTAAGACTTTAGCTTAGAAATAAATGATAGTGCCAGTTGACAGTTTTCCCCATGGAAAGCTTGTTTTACGTTTTACATTACAGTACACTGAAGTTTTTTAAAACAGACAAATAATGGGTACTGATAAGCGTCTACTCTCAAATCTGCCGTGCCAACACGTTTTGCCGTTCAAATAACTGCTCTAGCAGAGAAGCATTTATGTTGCCATGGGATACAGAACATGCGACACATCACGGGTCTACCAAGAAAAGAGAACTGAACAAGAAGCATCACCGCTCGCTCCCGCTGTCATGGCCTCGATTTACCTCGGTTAGCGCTTGAAAGTGTGACACAGCACATTTATTACCCCACACAGAACACGTCCCCACCATCGGCACGACTTCGTGCAAGGTCTTGGGCAGTTACGTGACGACGGGCACGCGGTTCTTCTACTTCGCTTCAGGATCACCCGGGCGGGGTATCCGCAGGGCACCCCTCCCTTCCCTCTCCACAGGTAACCGGCAGAGCCCGCGCCGGCTCTCAGCTCCTCGCAGCACCGAGACGGGGCGAAACGCCGCTCAGCCTCTCGCTCGGCCCTCACTCGGCCGCAACCGCCATCTCGGCCACGCCGCAAAGGAGCACCCGGCGCTCCCTCGTATCACGTCGCGCTGCCAGAAGGCCCGGCCCTACCTGCTGCTCCTCGGGGAGGCGCTGGCGCATCCTCCCGCGGCGGCGAGGCGGGGTGGCGGAAAGGCCACTCACGGCGCCTCGGCCCCCGGCCCGACGATCGCTCCGCGGCCCGCAGCCCCGCCCCCGCAGCCTGGGGGCGGGGCTTCCTGCCTCCCTCACGCACGTCGGGATCAGCGGGACGGTCCGCGCTGCGGCCTCGGCCCCAACTTCCGGTTCCCGCCTCCAGCGGGGGGGCGTGACTTCCGGGAGGCCGACTGAAGGAGAGGCCGGTGAGGGAGGCGGTCCCGGCCCGGCTGGGTTGGAGTGGAGGTAGCTGAAGGGTTGAAGGCAGCAGTGCAGGTACAGGTAGAGGAGCTCGCTCGGAGCTGCGCTGTGGGACGTACTCGTGATAGGAAGGGCTGAGACGAGCCGTCCCGGGCGTGCTTTGCGGCCCGATGAGGCGGCCGCCTTCTGCGTGTCCGTGGTGACGCCTGGACTTGTTGCACAGAGCTTGACCGGCCAACGCCCTGACAGCGCAGATGGCCCTTCGCTGTCCCTTCGCTCTCCCTTCGTTCGCAGTTCTCATAAGATGACATTGGTGTTCATAGTGATGTTTTCTTAGTTGTCCAGTTTCACTCTGAAATCTCCATCTGTTTTTTGGGCTTTTTCTTGGAAAAAGAAGCATCCCCAAGCTGTAAGGCCTGTCATTTTACTTGTTTTCTTTCCCGGTAATTATCCTTAGGATAGAACAAGAGGAAATGGTTTAAAGTTGAAGGAGGAAAGATTGAGGTGGGATGTCAGGGGGAAGTTCTTTACAGAGAGAGTGGCGAGGTGCTGCCCAGAGAGGCTGTGGATGCCAAGTCCATCCCTGGAGGTGTTCAAGGCCAGGTTGGATGGGGCCCTGGGCAGCCTGGGCTGGTATGAAATGGGGAGGTTGGTGGCCCTGCGTGTGGCAGGGGGGTGGGAGCTTGAAGTTCCTTGAGGTCCCTTCCAACCCTGGCCATTCTGTGATCCTTAGTTCTGTTTTTCCTCACTTCCATTTTTGCAGTAAAGATTACATAAGGTCTCTTGCTTGTTGGCTGGTTTAATTTGGTTTTCTTTTTAACTGTACTAATCAAGCTTTTGCCTTTTAGTGTGTTTCTGTGGTATGACTCCAATCTTCCTGAGACCTTGGCACACTCTGTGTGAGTACCTTCCAAAATACTAGGTTTAGTGCTTCTTAAGATTTGACGTGTATTTATTTCCACCCCTACCATAGTTCTCCCAAGTAGAGCTTAATGGAGGATTGTTAACTAGACGCTATAGCACTATACAGTCTCTTCTTGTTAGCTGAATCAGAAGTTGCAGCACTAACTACTTGCTTCATTTCAAGGACTGTTTTTTAATGCTGTCTTTCATCTCAATAGATGTAAGATTGAAGCAATTCTGGCAATGCAGCCCTTTTTCTACACCACTTGAGTAAACTATGAAAATAGAATTGAGATTAAAATAGGATAACGTACAGCAAAGTTACAAAGCATGTAAGTGTATTGGAAGAGACAGAGGGATTGACACTTGAGTGTACAAAGAAGGGGTTGGGGATTCATGATCCTGGAGGTCCCTTCCAACCCATTCTATGATTCTATGACCTGGTATGTTGGAATCACAGATTTATACGTTCTGAAGAGAAACCAGAGTAGACTAATTACAGCAACTAAATCTCTTTTGTGTTTTTTTGCCTAGTGCTTGAGTAAGGATGCCTTAAGAAGAAAACTATGGATAAATATATTAAAGTGCAAAAAATTGGAGAAGGATCCTTTGGGAAAGCCTTTCTTGTGAAAGATAAAGAAAATAGCCAGCAGTATGTTATTAAAGAAATTAACATCTCGAAGGTGAGTGATGTTGTTAATTGCTGATCTACTGTTTTTATATTCCTGTTTTCAAAAATCGTTATTTCCTTTTGAAGATGTCAAATAAAGAGAGAGAAGAATCAAGGAGAGAAGTTGCTGTACTGGCCAACATGAAACATCCAAATATTGTCCTGTATAGGGAGTCATTTGAAGGTAAGATTAATAAAGTAGAGCCCAAGTTGATAATGACTGTGTACTGCCTATGAGGTATAAGTCAATGTTTTCTCTCTGTAACTGTTTTTTCATCCTTGTATCTCTTCATTTTTTTTCTGTTTATAGTTTCTTGCAGTTGCCAGGTTGCAGCAGTTAAATATTGAAAAAATATTCCTGTCGCTTCTTCAGGTGATTCTATTTTGGTTGATGCTTAAATGAAAGGTGTACGGGCACTGCTGAGTCAGGCCTGAACCTCTGGTTGATCACCTGAGGTGAGCCATGAGTTAGCCAGAGGAGCACAGCTGATGGCAATTCAGCTGTGCTGCAGGAATGGGTTGAACCTGCCTGCACCCCTCCTAGACCTATTTAAGAGCTGGCTACCAGTGGGGAAGGATCTCTTCTGGAGATCTGCTGTGCTGGTATTTTGTGAGTGAGCCCAGGATAGGGGTAAGCCTTCTATTGATTCTCTTTTGTTATCATAGTCTGCTTTGCCTAACTCTCTTGTTTATTTTGTGACTATAACATCTTAATATTCTTTCATTATACAAGAGAATTGTGCTTTTTTTTGTTTTCTTGAGGGTAAATTTCCTTGAACACATGTGCGTAGCTTATTGGATGCATGTGTGTTAGAAATGCACATGGTCTGAAGTTGGTTACTGATGTACTGGCACAAGTGGTGTTACCTCATTAGCTCACTCTCTAGTCAATAGTAGTTATAATCATATAACTTCCATGGGTAGAAGAATAGTGGTGATTACTTCATAAGCTGTAAAGGAAGGAGAAGTTTAATTCTACCTTATTTTCACAGTGACTGTTGTGGGGAATAAAAAGAACAGGTAAAAGATTGTGAGAGCTTATCATTTAGAGTGATAATCCTGTTTTTTAAGAAGCCCTGACTATTATTTGAAATGCTGCTTAAGTGCACTGCTCTGGTATCCTTTTGTTCCTTCCAGCTGATTTTACAAAGCCTTTTGAACTTGGGGTTTTAATTTTTTTTCTGATCATTAAGTGAGAATCATGTCATAAAGAGCAAAACCAAGGTCTTCTGATTTATAAATCTGTATTTCTCTGTTCTGTATATTAGAGGCCTGCTCTTTAGGACTGATTTTATTTGATTGTTTTTGCTTTTTACGAGGTAGGTTGTGTAGTTCACTGTAGTTAACATTGCTTCTTTCTTGCTGGAGCACGTTGACTGGGAATGTGAAGTTAATTTGGTTTCTGAAACGGATCTGTTTCAACACCAGGTCTGCAAGGAATCCAGACTCCTAGGATCGTCTGTAAAAATAACTCACATCAGAAATCTTGACCAAGATACAAACATTTGTAAGCTTAAAATTCCCACTTCAGTGTTTTAAGTCTAAATTTTCGAGGCGTTCTGTGGGAGACTTATGTGACTCCACTTGAAGTTTAATAGTTATAACTACTTAGTGAATTTTCTTTTGAGCAGCACGTGATGCATACATTCTTCTCTAAATGGTATCTGATCTGTGAGTAGTGCAGGTCTTGAGTTTTAGTGACATATTTGAGTTTATATTCATGAAATATTAAGACTTTCATTGATGTGCTGTAACTTGCAATGTGTTCCTGCCTTGCAATTGGTTCAGTAGTAGGTGGGAAAGATTGCTTTGGGAACACAGCCAGAGCTTTTTATCAGATTATTATATTACTATTAGATGTATTATATGTGTTAAACTCTCATAGTGACAACTTGCATGGGATTTTTAAAAGTTTCCCTGGATTTCATGCAAAACTGAGACTTTGCTTGTTTTCAGCATCATTGCCAGCTGAAAGTTTTATTACCAGACGTCGATCTCTGAAATCACATTCATGTCTGTGAGATGAGAGCTGGTGATTGCCAGTTCATATATGTGATACCTTATCCAGGTAAAGCTGCTGAAAGGGTTAGGAAGATGGAAGCAATTAACTGAATTAAATTTGCAGTTCTCTGTTTTCAGGGCAGAGTTTCTTTGGGATGTTTGCATCAGCAAACAGGTTTGACAATTGTCTTATCATAGTTATAAGGTGACATCTTTAATTTCATTGTAAATCAGAATGTATTGTAAGTAGAAAAAAATGTATTTTTTTATTATGAGAGTTGCAGGAAAAAGACAAACCTTTACAGTGAAAGTTGCATTAAAGATGGGTGATTTTTCTTTTCCTTTGCTTGTAATATTTAGTTTTATTTTGCAGAAAATGGTTGTCTGTACATAGTGATGGATTACTGTGAAGGAGGAGATCTCTTCAAAAAAATAAATGCCCAGAAAGGAGTCTTATTCTCTGAGGATCAGGTAATCAGCAAATTGCTGCTGTAGTGTTTTGATGCGTGATTTCTTTTCTGCATTAGTTGTAATTTTGGCTCAGATTGGTGGGTACTGTTTCTTAACCTATTTAGAAAGTTTCCAAACTGTGCTGGTCGTTGCCTTGGCCATGGCATTGTTTTTTATGTAGCTTTTAAACCTACAAGATATTATAGCATAGGATTTTTGTATTTAAATACTGACCTCAATTTGTAAGAATTTGTCATTAGTTTATAAAGTGATGTAACAATGTAAGTTTACTTTGTAAAACAGCATAATCTAGCAGTACAAGGGCTGCATAGTTCCAAAGTATTTTTTCAGTATTGGAAGTAGACTTTCTTTCTTCATCACACATGTTAAGAAGTCACTCATACAGTAACACAGAAGATATAAATGCGCAGATCGGTTTCAACTAGGTGAAAATAGATCATGTGGGATTCAGGTTATTGGTTGTATTTGATGTCTCCTTGCTTACAGGTTATTTGTTTTTTTATTTCTTGCTCTGTGTTTTATTATCTGCAGCCAGTAAGAACACCTCAAACTAAGTTTACCTCTGGTTGGAAAGGCTTGTAAGTGTTAGGTCTAGATCTGCTGGTGCAATTTAGAGTAGGGTAATCATGAAACTTCTTAGGTGTAAGTTGTAGAACTTTTCATTTGCTGCTTTGGACTCACTTACAAGAAGAATTTAAAATGGGAAAGTAGAAAAAAGTACCTTAGATTGTACTGTGATTTTTGACATTGATGTGCTTGTAAGTTGGGTACATGAAAGCACTGTTCACGTGAAAAAAATTCTGCTGCTAGACCCTTTGTGTGTTATGATGTTTACAGATTACCAGAAATGTGAAGGTTAATGCTTTGTTTGTTTGTTGCTTTTTCTCAGTGAAATCTGATTTGTACTGTTTTTAAGGTAAAATGCCTAAAACGTGCTTGCACTGATTAGAGCAAAAGTAGAATCTTTAAGATGCAAGTTCCTTGTTCGGAGCATTTTTTGCCATTATAGTTTGTGTGGTATGCGTTTTGATTGCTGTACTATATGTAATCAAGTAATAATTTGAGGCTTAGCATCTAACTTGGCTACCACACGTTTCTGTATGATGGTGCCAGTACTGCTAAGGCCTTGATGGTAGTGTGACATAAATGGAAACGGGCTCGTGGGTAAAAAGGGTAGAAAAGAGGATAAAAATCTTATAGAACTGATCTGATAATGTCTTCAGTAATACAACTGGAGAAACTTGTAAATAAATCAAGTTGCTGATGTTACCTTTTGTCTTTCGTACGTAGATTCTGGATTGGTTTGTACAAATCTGTTTAGCACTGAAACATATACATGACAGAAAGATCTTACATCGCGACATCAAGTCACAGGTACGTAGGCAATCTTACTTGAAAACTGAATTCACTTCCTAAGCGATTACATCTGGATCTTGGTGGTGGAAGTTGGCAAGTAATTGAAAATAATCTTTTCACACAATGTAAAATTATTTTAGTACTGGCAATGCTGTTTTTTTTCTTTAGAATTGTACAGAGGTGGTTTAGATGGTATTTTTACTAACAGAAAAAAAGCTATTTCAGTGTTACTGGCGTAGACTTCTATCTCCACAAGTAATTGTATTTTAGACTGTTCAGCAGTGTTTTCTATAGTTATGGTAAAGCAGGATGAGAATAAGTCTCTGGAGTTTTACAGTCACTAATGCCAGGGACTGCAGTGTAATTGAATGGTAGAAAACATTATTTTTAAAACATGCTGAGAACGAAGTGTGCAATTGTACGAATGTTCTGATTAACAGACTTCTTAAAATTTCTATGCCAAGAACATATTTTTAACCAAAGATGGAACAATACAGCTGGGAGATTTTGGAATCGCCAGAGTTTTGAACAGGTAATTCTTTTTTTAATGCTGATTTCTTTGAGATCACCTAAATTGCTTTGATTTAGGATAATGTAATCGGTGCGTTTCATGTGAGTTAACGCTCACCCTTACTTTTTCCTTAGCACTGTGGAACTGGCTCGCACTTGCATAGGAACACCGTACTATCTATCACCTGAGATATGCCAGAACAGGCCTTACAACAATAAAAGGTACTAATATTTACTTAATATTTGTGCTAAGGAGAAGAGAGTCCTTCAGAAATACAGAGCTCTTCTATTCATATGATGATGATAATTGATCTCTCACCTGATAAGACAGCCTCACCTGCCTCTGGCAGGACCTTAGTAGATTTGTGTGATGCGAAGCAGCATGATGTGGAGATGACTCCACTTCAGTGCTTTGGCTTCTAAATCTAAGCTGTCATCTTTATTATGACTCTGCTTTTGCCTGTGTACACATTGCTGTCATAATTTATGAATGTGAAACCACATTAAGAAAGAAATATGAAGGCAGTAATTGGATTGCTTTTAAGCACGTGCACGGGTAGTCATCTTTCAGGTAGTTTGCTTCTACATTTATTACCTTGGCAAGTAGGTCCTGTATGGTAACGCTATCCCTGATGTAATGCAAGTGTTCAGTATCTGATTAGTCTTACTCTACATTAAGCTTTTAAAATGGCTTCATTTTTGTTACTGTTTGCTGAAAAGATAAAAATGATTATATTCCCTTGTCTGTTCGTTTCTTTTACATGGGATTTTTTGTCCAGTTGTATTCAAAATAAATTCTGCAGTCCTCTAGTGTGGGTAATGTAACCCAAGTGTCAAACTGTTTAGTTGAATCTTAGAATTGTATTTGCCATGTAGAGTAGTGGGTTGCTTTTTCTAAATTTCAGAGATCACAAGTAAATACGTACAGTTAAAGAAAATAGACCTTTATGCAGAGTTTGTCTGGTTTCTCTGATCTCAGTGGTGCAAATGAAAAAGTATAAAATCTGAAGTGAAAAAAAAACCCCTGTCTGTTTTTTCAGGTTGGCCTCGGTTTGGATTGTTAATGGTTGGTTAGTTGATAAGGTTTTGTGCTTTGAGGAGTAGAGGATGTACGTTCATGGGAGGCTGTGATTTATTCTAAATATCCCATTTCTTTTTCAAAGGTTAAGTGTTGGTAAATAAGTTATTTGGCAGTGTTAATCCCACAACAAGCTCAAGGTTGTGTTCTTTTTGTTCTAGTGATATCTGGGCCCTTGGTTGTGTTCTCTATGAAATGTGCACGCTTAAACACGCAGTGAGTAGAAACTTCTTGCTTCTTTGAAAGGCTTCCTGCTGTTTTGCTGCTGTATTTCTGTTGATTCAGGGCTTTCATGGTGACTATTTAAAATTACCTTCAGCATCTTAGTTTCCTTTTCCTATACTTGCAAACAGTTGCTGTGTTTTGATTCCTGCTTATCTCTTTTATTGTTTTGTTTTGGTGTTTTTTTTTTTTCTGCTTGTAAGGTAGATATTCAGTGAGGTTGAGGTAGCTGAGAAGATGTTGGTTGTGTTAACAAGCAGTGCTTTTTTCTTTCTGAAGGCTTGATGTTTTCATTGTAACTGAGAAGGCCTAAATTTAAACTGCCAGCTTTTGTGTAGGTGGATTTGTATGCTTCCATTTGGAACACTCATAGTTTTTAGAAAGAAACTCTGAAGAAGTTGCTTTTTTTTTTTTTTTTTTAAATTTGATTGTTTATCAGTCATGATGGGAAGGAAAAATATGTTCAATAAACCAAGTCGACAAAAAGAAATAACTATTTTTACGGAAAGAAGTAAGATTATAATGTGTCAAGTTGAGGGGGAAAATAAAGGTTAGGGCGTAAAGGTAACATGAAAGCTTTTGCAATTGTTTGTTAAGTAGTCTTTTCTGAGGCAGCAGTGTTGATGGAGAAGTTGCTTCCCTGAGGGTTGATAGCAATTTGTTTTCTGTGAGCTGGGTGATCCATGCTGTTTTCTTTTAACCATTCTAAGGAATTGGTGCCTGCTGCCTGCTGAGCTCAAGCTAGTCTTAACATTCCTTTGGATTTCACACTGAACGACTGTGAATGCTTTACATTCTTCCATGTCAAATGCCCTGTTCTAAAGAGAGCTGAAGGTGGGAAGGTTCAGGAGATGAGAGAAGATGGAGCAGATACAGTTAGACAATTATAATTAACTGCGTATCATTAATCTACATCTGGGGGACAATAAATATTTGCTTGTGAGGTATATATAAATATGGTATGAAGTAGCTGTAGTGCAATACATTAGTGTAAAAGTGCTGTACTTGGCAACAAATTATTTGCAACTGTTGATGACAACTGTTGATGACCTTGGAAACTGACTTGGATGTGCCCAGGCAGAAGCAGCTGTGGGCTTTTTTGTTTGACTGCTTTTTCTTTTCTCTTATTTGCCCTCACCTCTTATGCAGCTTTACATGTAGGCAAGCAGTAATGTGTTTTAACTGTCTTGTTTTCTTACATGATACAGTTTGAAGCTGGTAACATGAAGAACTTGGTACTGAAGATCATCTCTGGATCTTTTCCTCCGGTTTCTATGCATTATTCCTATGACCTACGTAATCTACTGTCACAGTTATTTAAAAGGAATCCTAGGGATAGACCATCAGTAAACTCCATATTGGAGAAAAACTTCATAGCCAAACGGGTTGAAAAATTTCTCACACCACAGGTATGCAGTTGGTTTTAATTAAATTTGGCTAAGACATCTTAGGACTATTGTTTATTCCGGTGTCAGTATAGAGTATGAGAAGGTGGAATAATGGTATTTCCTAAAGCTTTTATGTGAACTTCTTCAGTTGAGAGAAGAAAGAGTTGTTACTATGAATGACAAAAAAATAAAATGAATGCAATCTCAACTTACTGAAGTATTTGGAGGCTTCAAACAAATTTGAATTGACATGATCTTAAGAGTATTATTTTGTATGTCTTTGTATATGGGGAAAAATTTTGTGTCAGATGTCCATTTGATTATATATGCACCTCTCTCATGAAGTGGCATTGTCAATATCTCCAGCATCAAATCTTTATTATCATTTCTTTAATCCTTTTGTTGTTTGCAATTTGGAATGGCCTGGAAGCTTGTTTTGTGAGATATTGCTAAGTAAACGTGATGGCTGAATTTCTTGTATACGTAACATAGAAGAAATTACTGAGTATTTTGTTTTGTATCTACTGATATTTTGACAACTATTTGAGCTATTTTAATGTAAATCTAATCAAAAGAGATGAAGAACAACGAGCACTGATGTATGAGGTAAGTACAGGAAGAGAAAGGACACGTAGAGAATTGATGCAAAAGAACACCTCATTAAATATGAGTAATTCTGATGGAGTCATTGTAACATAAAGAAGTTTTGGTAGAAGGCTGTATGTAATTGGAATTCCATTTGTATGTGGAATAGACTTTCAACTAATGATAGTTCATACTAAAGTTCCAGTGAAAGGCCAGAGTCAGAAGTCTTCACAGCACAGTTGTAAAAATAGTAGAAAATCTGTCTTTTAAAAAATTGAAGGCTTGATCAGACTCACAGCAGCTGGAACGAAACTTCTGTTTGTGATTAGTTGAAACAGTATAACTGGTGGTAGACTGCTACCTGATAATGTCAGTATTTTCTTAGATTGAATCCAAATATTTGCACACAGTTTTGACAGCTGAATCACTGATGTGCTCAGATTGAAAAAATCTTTTAAGACAGAGAAAGAAATGACCAAGAAATGGCTCTTAGTAAATGTGTTGCTAACTGGTGTATACATGTGCTGTTGTCCTCTGCTTTACTTGGTCTGAGCTGAAGAGATCCTTTGTGGTTCTGTCACCTGCAAAACATTACAGCTGTTGCTGAAATGCTGCTCTTAACTGCTGGAAAAATCAGTCTTCCATGTTTATAGAAGTTCTTTCTTAATTTTCATAGTCACAAGTCTGCTACCTGTGACAGAGCAGGTACACATTTCATACACAGCTTTGATATTGCTTATTCTGAACCTTCCTCCTTGTCCTTGGTTGTATTGTATGCTTTTTCTATTGGGATTATCATTTCTGCTCTTCTGTGTTTCTTTGCATAATCCCATGTAGTATTCTAGACCCCTGTTACACTGCATGACATCTTTTTAGAGGCTGAAGAGCTTATTCTTTGTACTGAAGATTTTGTATGCTGTTAATTATTCTTACTACTCTTCTTAGAAACTTTTCCATCTCTTCTACTTGATTTTTGAGATAAGGGGTTCAGAACTCCATGCAGTATTTAAGATGATGTGTGAGGATAATCTATTTATGTTTAAATGTTTTGTCTATAGTCAATGTATTTATTTCAGTAAGGCTGTATTCTAAAGCTTCTTTATGCTAACCTTTTGTGTGTGACTGAACCCCATGTATGTTATTCCCAGATAAGCTATGTATATATGTATCTCATATATGTCTTCCCATCTTGGAAAGCATAGAGACGCTGAAATCTGCAGACATTTGTAAAGGACTGTGCTTTGACACAGGCTATCTGAGAGAGTGAAGTGAAATGTGAGAACTGTACCATAAACTAGAACAGACTGTTCATAAAACTCACGGTGATGAACACTTCAACTTTATTCTAGTTTCTTAGTTAGGTCATAGTTTGGGTAACGTGCAACCTGAAAAGCAGACTAAGTAGTTAATTAAAATGATTTTATTAATATTTCTATTTTCAATTAACGATTCATTTTGCTTGGGGAAAAGAAGGCTCCAGGGAGACCTGATAGCAGCCGTTCGATATTTAAAAGGATGCTAAAAGAAGGAAGAGGACAGACTCTTTATCAGGGTCTGTTGTGATAAATCAAGGGTGAATGGAAAGGGGAGATTTAGACTTGGATATTAGGAAGAGATTTTTTTACAACACAAGTCATGAGGCACTGGCACAGGTTGCTAGAGCAGTGGTGGAAGCCCCTTCCCTGGAGACCTTCAGGATCAGGCTGGATCAGGTTCTGAGCACCTGGTGTAGCTGTAGGTATCCCTGTTCCTGCAGGGGGGACCAGCTGGTGTTCAAGGGTCTCTTCCATCTCAAATGATTCTATGCTTCTGCACCGAAAATGTTTGGAAGTAACAAATCCAACTTGATTCCAATGCTAGTGATGTTACAGTGAATACATAGTTTAGTAATGAACTTACTGTTCACATATGGTTTTAGTGAATAGTAATAGATAGCAATTTAACTGGAAGAGGTATACAGAATTTGTAGAAAATGAGTTCTTTCTGACTTTAGCATAAGTATTCTTGGCTAACAGTTGAACTCTTCTTTTTTTTTAAGCTTATTGCAGAAGAATTCAGTCACAAAACGTTTCACAAGTTTGGAGCGCATGCTGCGCCAGGTAAGTATGTATGTATGAAATGCTTTAACTTAAGAATCCAGCAAGCTAATTTGTTTATGTATGTTCTTGTGTTGGTTTTGGTGTGTTCTTGTAACTGACTGTAGAAATGTTGTGCAGAGAAAAGACAGGGAAGCAGTTTAGTATGTTATTGTCTTTTTGTTTTCCTCAGTGGGGAGCTGGATGTTCACAGGGAACTAACCATGGTGATGCAGTCCTTGAGCTTTTTGTAACGTTGTAGGTTTCCTTTTTCCTCTTGCACTATACTGTGCTTCTAAAATTTAAAACAGTGGAAACTGCAGATAGTAGAAACATGTTGTTATTGTACTTTTTTTTTTTGGCCTTATTACTGACACCTGGGTAATGAGAAATCCCAGACCTTATTATAAGTGCCAGAGATTTTTTGCTATTGGTGGCATATTAGATTGCAGCTTAGTTTCTCACAACAGTCTTGTCATGTTTTCCTACAGCAGTTAGTTTACACTTTTTTTCTTAGATTTCTGTTTCTTTTACTTTCTTGAAATTATTTGATAGTGCTTTTATGTCCTTCATCGCTGTTCTGCTACTTCGGGAGTTAAGAGAACCCTCCTTACACACAAACAAATTCATAAGATGTAATTGGCTTATTTTCAGGATCTTCTCAAGAGAAATAATATGCCTAGAGGTCACTGAAAGTGCAGTTGTTTTAAAACTCATCTTGTGCTGAGCTGAGTTTTGCTGGTTGCAGTGCAGTGCCTCTTGATTATGTTGGGAAAACTGTTCCCTCTGTTCATAGCAACTGGGTAAAAAAAAAAAAAGAAATCTAGCAGCTTGAGTAAGTTTCAGTTCTCCAGTGTGAAACTAAGTGGAGAAAGTGAAAAGCTCAGGGATGGTGTTCTGCTGTTTGTTATGAAACATACTAATTAGAAGAGCTGTTTTGGATACCTGGATATATTTCATTTATACAAGCAGCTCCCGTGAATGAAATGTTAGTTTATCTGTTCTCCTCTGAATCTGCTGTTCCAGTACGTAGGGAAAGGGATATACAGTGTACTGACTGGCCTGGACATAGCTGTAAAACAGTCTCTTCTTGTTAAGCTAAAAGACCAGCTCAAGGACAAATCTCGGCTTCAATTGCACCAGCTCAGAAAATTACCAAACCTGCTGCAAAATACGGAGTGCCTTTAGCGATGAAGAAGTGTTATGACGCACCCAAAAAGCATCATGAGAAAAAGTCATTGATTAAACTTAGGCAGGTAACTAAGTTACTTGAATTGAACTATTTTGCAAATGCTTGTATTTGAATTGTATGAGAATGTTATGTGTTGCTTTTCAAAATGTCACTTAGATGAACAAAGCATCTAGAGAGGAAATAGCATTCTAAGTGCTCGTCTTGCACTGTTACTGATTTTTTTTCTTTTGTTCATTTTGGAGGCTGCTACTTTAGGCTTGCTTTCTAATTCCACGAGTGAGTTAGGTCTGCTTTGCATACGTGTTCAGCTTCTCTGTTGTTGACCAGTCTTGGAAATGCTGGTAGCTGGTTAGATAGACCAACAGCATTGGTGCAGCGTAAGAATCCTGGCATATTTCTGCAGTGTTCGAAAACTATCTCCAGTTTTCAAACTTAAGTAGGCTTACTGGTAGCTTTATAAAGCGTTGTCAACCAGAGAAATTATCTAATTGGAAAAGAGTTTGCCAGACTTAATTCCGTGAGCTAATGAAAAATGGGTTTTTATACAGTACCACTGATCTTCTTTTTTCCAGTCATCTTTCTCCGCTCTCCCTATTACATGATACTGTCTATGTGTATTCCTTAATTACTGAATGACTGGCAGATACTACATGATACAACCAGTTAGGCACATTACAAGTAACTAGTAACCAGGGAGCTCCCACATCAGCATTTTCTACTCTAAGCCTACAACATAATTCAAATTGTCTTCCGAACAAGTGATTTGCTTGTTTGTTTCGTTCTCCTCTTAGCATTTGGGGAAATATAACACTGAGATTACTGTCTACAAAACTTGGTGTCGTATCTGATAGATGAACAGAAAATGAGCCACGAGATAGTGTTTCCCTAATCTTTCTGTAACCTCTGAATCTTTTTAACTTGTACCAGTGATTCCCACAGGCTTTGTTTGTTTATCATGTGCAGCTGGAAAAAGAGAGCAGGAGTAAGCAAACACAAAAACTTGTGTCCTTATGAGGTCATGATGCTTTTCCCATTTAAAGCCTGGTTGTGCAATCACATGCTATTCTGTTGCTGTTTATAATCAGTTTCACCAACCAGCGCTGAAGCAACTTGTACAGTGACTTAAAGTCCTTGTTATGGCAGGGTGAAGACTGAGGAAAAAATCTTGTACTGCAACTTAAAGATAATCCTTTGTGTGGAGTGTACGTAGTAGCAAGGGGTAAGATATAGGCTAGAGATAATGGCTACAGCATAATACAAGTTTTATCCTCCTGGTTGTTGTTCCAGGCTAGCTATGCAGGTCACACATGGATTTCTAATGGAACATGCAGCTTCATTGCTTGTTTAGTGTTACTACATGAATGCACAGTAGTTGAATTTTGAATTGCATAGAAGCCTTTTAGAGACTTAAATCAGTTGTTTGAGTTACTTGAAAAGTACTAGTCTGATATAAATTTAGATTGTCAAAAGAAAATCTTATGAAGCAAACTGTGTTCTTGTCGAGTCAGGAAAAAAAGGCTTATTATGTATAACTGTTGTGTTGGATAGTGCGGCATTGTTCCCATTTTCTGTGGGTAACAAGACAAAGCCTAAGGATAACCTAATAAATTTGTTATCCAAATAAGAGGCAATCTTACTATCTTAGGACCGTCAAAGACGATGAAAATATTATAATGTTTCTGCCAGAAGAAGAAGAAAATTTGAGTCGAGGAGATCTTAAATTATTTTCTTCAGCCTTCAAGATGGAGCTCTTTGCAGTGGGTGAACAAGTATGCTAGTATTTACAACCTCCCAACTAATGAATTATTTTAAACCCAATTTTGCACATGCCAAGATGTGGGTTTAGGATTTTTCTAGTTTTTCTCTTATTCTAGCATTGTGCTATCCTAATTTTAAGTTTCACCTTTTATCTAGGCCTATCCAACTCCAAAGAAGAAAATAATTCCAGGAGAAGAAAGGAGGAAAATGTTTGAGGTATCATGAAATCTCACGCTAATCTTCAATCTAAGCAAAAGCTGAGTCCAAAACTTAAGAATTTGGACTTTTAAAAATGACAGAATGAAACCTTCGAACCTTTCCTCCTTATCTTTTTTTCCCCAGTCATTATCTAGCAGTGTTTTTTGTCTTCTTGGACATAACCAGCAAGTGGAATACTAACCTATCTTGATAGATGCTTTGCAGACCAATGGCTGAGCAATAAATACTAAATTATATGCTTATTTTTCAGGAACCTTCAAAAAAGAAAAGGTTAGAATTGCCTGAAAAAGAAAAACGCCAAAGAGATCAGGTAGACAAGATACTTGGACGCCCTTTTAATTTTTTTCTTTCAACACCCATAGTAATTCTAGTGACATGTGTTGTGTTGCCTAGGAGATGGAAGTAGTTCAGTTTCCCAGTTACTAAATATGTTTAATCCTTATGCATTGCAGATCAGTTTACTGAAGGCAGAGGAAGTAAGAAGACTGGAAAAAGAAAGGGTAAAATATGTTTAAAATACGTTAATAGCAAATCTTAATGTTTTACTTAAAGCGATTCCTTGAATTATGTTTTCCTTTATTGTTTTTTTCCTTCAGATGGAACGAATAAACAGAGCCAGGGAACAAGGATGGAGGAATGTGCTTGGTTCAGGTGGAAGTGGTGATGTTAAGGTTGGCAGCAGATGCAGAAATGTGATGTAGTTTGCTCCTCCCACCTTTGGTTATCTGGCATGATCTTCTCTTTTCAGAAAGAACTGCTCTTGGATTCAACTCTTGAAGTTGCTCTCTATTAAACTAGCTGTAATTTAAGAGAGAAGTCTGTGTAACTGACTTCCTGGCCTTTTTGAGATCATGTGCCATGTTCATTTTTAATACTTAATGATTTCTGAATCTCTTCTCTTTCTGCCAGTAATGATTTTCATGCATCGCTTTCTTTTTTTTTGTTGTTTTTTCCCACTCTTGCTTTCGCTGCTTTTCCTGAATAAATGCATGAAGAGCTTCTTTCATATTCCAGTTTGTTCTTGAAACTTCTTGTTGAAATATCTTTCTAGGTTCTCATATTATTATAATGGATTTTTTTCCCAGTATTGAAAACATGTTTTAAGCTTTTGTTTTTAGTTAACAACATAATTGACAGTTCCAGTATCTGTGTTATGTTGTCTATGATAGGTGAGAAAATTTGAGTAAGCGTATCTTTTTCTCAAAGCTGTGAGCCCCTTAGTTTTTTCATTTTTATGGAATTAAGTTATATAATTCCATGCTATTTTTGTGACAATTTCATAGTTTGTATATCTCTTGCTTCCATGGAAACATAACTGTTCTGGAAAGTAGCATGATGAAGGTATTTGAAGGTAGGACTTTTGGACTTTACTTTCATCAGACAGTTGGCAGTGAAGAAGTTCAAATATTGCCACGTCAAGTAAACCAAGAAAATTGATTTACATCAAGTATGATGTGAATCTATCTGACGACATGAAGTGGGTTTAAATGCAGCCGTTAGTTATGGTGCTGGTGAATCCTACAAAGATATTGGGCTTAAATGTGTTTAGCTCAGTTTTTATAAAGAAACTCTGGCTGAACGCTACAGTCAAAATGAGAGGAGGTTTTGTATGAGAAAATAGCAAGGAAATGGAATTGCATGACCAGGCTTCAGTAGCTGCTTATCATAACTATAGTTCAAGATAGACACCCCATTTTGCTGCATGCCACGCATTGTATAAATAAGCTTATATACAGAAGCAAGCATAGAAATATCAGTTTCAAAACTACCAGGCTCTGGTTTAATGGGAAACTGAGAAAAGTTGTTTGTTTTTCACATCTCTCTGTCCTTCTCTCTATCAGAATGGTGTTGGCAGTCATCCATGCAAGGCCTCCGTTACAACATGATGTATAAGCATCATGATATTTGGTTTAGAGATTGATATGTTCCTGAAAATGACCGTGCCTTAGATTAGATTGGAGAGTTTTATTGCAAGGGCCTTAGACATAGGAAATACAAAACATTCATCACTGTCTTTTAGTGTTCTTGGTCATGTACAGAAATTGAAGTTCAGTGGCTGTGTATATTTTCACAAAGTGCCGCTGTGAAATATCAAAGCAAACAGATTGTGTGTATATATATATATACGTACACATAACTGTTTGAAATATGTTCTTCAGGTTAGTTTTACACAGCCCTTAACGCAGGCCACTAAGTTACCATCACTCAGGGTTTTCATGTACTGTCAGAGTAGTTCTGATTTGTTTTCTTTCTTTCTCCTGCACATAAGCAGTGCAGTCAGTGACTCACTGATGATGCTGTTTAGAATATGGGTATTCAAGCATTCTGAGACTGCAAGCCACATAGTCCCTGATGAAGGCGTAACAAGGTCTGCACCGCATTATTTTTCCTCCTGGTTTTTTTTTTTTGAGTGGCACCTGTTTTTGAGGGAAAGTAGGGAAAGAGATGTCAAGGACTTGGCTTTGGATTCTAGCAGGGACTGCAACTGTTATGCACGTGGTTGATGAACGCTTGCTTCTGAACTGTTTGCCTAGAGATTGATCTTAATATTTCTTCAGATGATCTTTTTGAAAATACACATAGTAATTATAGGTGAAACCCTGAACAGTGTCTAAGGCAAGGCTTTGCATTTTATTTGTAGAATCGGCTGCCTTTTGTAACAAATCACAGTTATCTGGAGGAACAGCATACCGGCATACTTACTTGAATGCCTAGATTGATCTGTTTGCTTTTTATCATATGGGTTACAGGGAACCACTGATGTTTGACAAACTGAAACTCGGAGTGTGAATAAAATTCTGTTATCAAATACGGGCTGATACAGATCTTCTGCGTGAACCATCCTACAACTGTCACATCTGCACTGTCTTATTTGAAATGTGAAATAATTTGGAACACTTAGAGTATTGCGCATGCTGTAGGTTCACTACCATGGGCTGCCTGATTGACCAGTTACCCACGTGTGAAGAGAACATTTTTATGCATGACCACCTTACCTTTGTTTTGTCAATTTCATGCTTTCTGTATCTATTCTTGACTATTACTATACAAAACTGCTTACAACATTTTCTTGACTATTATTTTGACATGATGGTTCTCCAGGAATTCCAGGTCTTTGAAGATGACAGAGATCATTTTCATAAAGCTCTAATCTGTGGTAAATGTTTGCCTGGTCTGAGCTTCACTAGGGAAGCCTGTCAATTTTGGTGATGCAGTGAAGTTATAGATAGCTGAAAATGAGGAGTCTGAGATAAATTTATTACTGTCCTTCAGCAACCTTAGAGACATGCTTTACCATTTATGGCATTAGTAAAATATGGATGTTTGGATAGCTATCATTCATTAATACTGCAGTTAGTACTCTATCACTTCTAACTTTTTGCATGGAAACTTGTTTTTTTTCGTTGTGTCAAACGTGCTATTTCCAGTTATGCTTCAGCAGGTTCTTCACTGATAACTTGCAAAATATGTAGTGGATGGCTCATGTATAATAGCCTAGAGAGAGAAAATACTGTTACTTTGGAGTACTAGGTGAAAAGTAAGTTTTCATTTTCAATTTATCAGTCGTGTAGTAGATTAAAATAGGTGAATGCCAAAATTAAACTAGGACCAATTGAGAATGATTGCAAAGCATATTAATACTTTTACTGTGCTGGAGTGGAGAAAAATTGAAAGGGCTTGTTAAAACAGTATTTGAGATTTTCAGCCTACCTCTTCTGACTTTCAGGCACCGTATTATGGCGGTGGAGGTGGTGTTGGTCCTTTTCCTGCCTCTTTGAGAGGACAGTATGAGCACTATCACGCTATTTTTGACCAGTTGCAAAAGGAAACCTTCAAAGTAACTAAAGAGAGGCAAGCCAAATGGAGGGCGGAAGTACAAGGCCAAGAAGCTGCTGAGAGGTATGGCTACCTTCCATGTGATGTTGCATGTGGTCTGCTTCAGATGAAAGTAATGAAAGTTACTGTACATATTTATCTACAGAGGAATTCCACCTGGAGTACGTCCAGGAGTTCCTAAGGGGCCTGCAGGTCATCACCATTTACCTGATGCTGATGCAATTAGGAAAAAAGTGAAAAGGTTGAAGGAGGTGTCTAAACAAGCCAGTGCAAACAGGTTGGGCTACAATAATCCATAAATCTGTCCCTACGTGTTAGAATTTTGTTCTATCTTGTTCCATTTAGTAGTTGCACATGTCTCAGAATCATCTTTATCCATTGGTAGTGTGCTGTCTGTTTGTGTGTTGGTCCCTCACAGACCACAGTACTTTCAACACCAATGGAAACCTTGGCTCTCCCTGTAGGGGAAAAAAAAATGATTACCAATTACCTAAGCTAGATTTAAGCTAAAAGGACTGGCTTAATGCAGTTAGAGTCTAGGTAAAACAGCCTTCTTGGCTTTTTTCTAGTTCTGATTTCTGTGTTACATGCCAAGATGCTTCCTTGTCTTGTCATGTCATTCTGGCTGCCTTTTTTCCGTCTGAGCATTTTTATTTTATTTAAGAGTACGTAGAAAGTTCTCGGCACTTCTAGCTTATGTGTATTGACCAGTGGAAAACTCTTTGGGGCTTTCTTCATCAGGAGATGTGAGTGCTAGATGTTAAAATGATACACAATTTATGATTTCTGTGGTACTTACTCTTTGCAGTAACCAGGAAGTGAGTGTGTATTGTATGTATTAAAAAAAAAAAAAAAGGCACATCTACATCTTTCAGGTTAATTGATAACCTCTTTCAGATACTGGTGTTCTTTCATGTTTTTGTTTGTTTTCCAAAACTGTTATTTTCCTTGAAATCTATTAATAACTTTAGAAAGAATTGTCTCCACACTCTGGAGTGAAAAATGGAGAAATACATGCTTAAAATTTTACTACTTCAGCATTGCTTCAACGTTGTTCTAGTATTCTTAATGGCAAGCTTTTTTCTTATGAATTATTTGAACTTCTGTGCATCAAAAGTAGTATTCTTTGGTGGCAGAAATAAATGGTGTTCATGTGAGGAAAAGGAAGTGGTTGAGGAACACATTTTTCTTAGTTTATTCTAAGTTGATTAATTCAGTTTGAAGTTTTATACAGTATATATTTAGCCTTCTAGATTATATACTGTATATCCACTCTTCTACATTTGTCTGGTTTATATATTGTAACTATATCATGGATGTTACAATTTTGAAAGCTGTAAAGTGTATTCCGTTTTCTTTACAGTAATTTGGGCAATTGTGAGCCAATTAAAACTCTTCCTGATATATATATATATATATATATATATATATATATATATATATATATATATATATATATAAAAACAAAACAAAGAAACATCTACAAGTGTATTTTTCAGGATGACGTATGTGCTTTTTCAACCTTCTCTGCAATCCTTGGCACACAGTGCCAGAATCCCCAGATCTTGCCTAGGTTAGGAAATAGTAGCATAGGTTAGTTAAGTGTTATAGTATTGTATGTATCTTACACATTTAATAATTACAACCTGTAGCAGAAATCAGAGCTTGAACCAGTGGTTGAGCACCTGGTGGGAAGGCAGGGCCAACCCAGGGGAGCTGAGGTGCAATCAATGCACCTGAGTGACTGGAAGAGGTGAAGCCAGGATCCACCCCTTCCCCGACCTCATTTTAAGGGTTGCAGTGGAGGTGACGATGTCTTGCTGGAGGTCCCTGCATTCCTAGGGCCTTCCAAGAGTAAGCAGGCTTTCTTCCATTGTTTTTGTCCACAGCTGCTCTGTGTGGCCTTGTCCTCATTTACTGCAGCCTAGGATTGTGCCACCCCACTGTTATTGCTGTGTTGCTTATCACGTAGCGTTACAGCATTACACAACCTTGTGGAACGTTGGCATTTTCAACTGTATGTTTAAAAAGTTGAAAAATCTTAAAATTACAATATTTCTGATTATGCTGCCCCAACTAAAGTGAAGTACTCTCAACTTCAGCAGTCTCTAAAAATTGGACAGCAGTGCTGACCAGAAGAAATCTGGTTGAAACATTTTAATAAGGTGAGTTACTCAGCCTTACATTAGGGAAAATCGTTATCATAAAAAATTGAATAGGTTTTTGCCATGAGTTAGGTTTTAGATGAAGAGAGCATTGGGTTTGGTGTTTCTCTTTGCGCTGAGGTTGCTTCTCCAAAATTGTAGGCTAAACCTCATCTGCGTGATGTATTTTGATAGACTTGTTTATCTACTGGTTGAGTTCACATGTAATGAACGTTGACAGTCAAAATCATGTAGTGAGTCAAACAGATGCATAAAAAAGTTATCAAGTGGTTCTTTCTTTACCAGTAGTTCAGTGGACCACTTTGCATTTCCAGAACAGCTCCAGGGTTTGTTCTATCAAAGGAATTTCACCTCTCTTTCAATTCTTGAATTATGGCATATGGATATCTCATTTCACTTCCTCATTCATTGCTGGGTAGCAGTGTGGGGAAAAGAAGATTCAAAGGGGTTTAATGAGTGTGCTAATTCATTTATGAAATGCTAACAGTAGCTTCTGTATGGCAAAATATTCTTTCTTTGGCTGTTTCAGCCTGATGGTCAGCTTTTCTTGCTATCTTCCTGCCTTTTGTTGGACTGCTAGTGCTCTACGTACAATCAGACAAGGCTGCAGGGGAGCCTTGCGCAGGGAATTCTCTCATCATTCTATGATTGTTAGGATTTCTAACACTGTCCAAGAGTTTTTTTGTTTGTTTTTCGTTTGTTTTCCTTAGAGAGTTTTCTCATTAGTCTCCTTTTAATCAGTTCTTCTAGGAATTGTTTCCTCTACCATGTGATCGTATCTGTGCACTAGGAGACTTGCCTGGTGCTGTTACAGTGATGTGAACACAGCCTTCTTGTCTAACCTAACAGGTCTCTGACGTGGGGCAGGATATGTGAAAAAATATCTGTTCTGCTTAATTTTGTGGCAGGAAAGCTCACTTTGAAAATAACTGAACAAAAATCTCATTAAGTTAACCAAAATGCCCTTGGAAAACCACCATTGAGGAGTTTTCAATTAGGTAGAAGCTCTTGCTCCAAGCCTAGATCAGACTTGCCAAGCAATTTGGGCAATTGTGAGCCAATTAAAACTCTTCTTGATATATATCTTCTTGATAGATATATATATCTATCTATATATCTCTCTATATATATAAAAGATATCCAACAGGATATCTTAACGGATGGCTTATGAAGACTTCTTGCCTGTCTCCAGAGGAAAGTCTTGAAGGGATTCATCTTTTGTACTTTTTATCTGTGTTTTACTAGTGAGACAAGCTGAGAAATTTCCAGAAATAACTACACTAAAATCATGGTTTGACAATCATTTTTGTTTTGATGAACAGAACGTGCAAGAGAGCAACACTGTATTGGAAGAGAGTTCAATTGTATTTCCTGTGTTGTTGAGTGTATTTTTCTCCATATTGTGAAAGTCTGACTTGAGCATTTTGGCTGATAAAAGGCATTCTTCTGAAGATATGTTACTTATGGAAAGTTAATTTCTTATTTGTTTCCCTGTTGAGATAAATGCACTGGTTGTATGAATGCTGTATTTCTGAAGCTTAGAGCTTGCTATGTGTTACGATTATTCAGGCAGAAAGGATGGTTACCTGCTGAAAGAGCAAAGCAAGTTGAAGAATTCTGGCAACGAAAGAGGGAAGCCATGCAAAACAAAGCTCGTGCTGAGGGACACATGGTATGGAAAATGCAGTCTTTGTGTGTTACTGTTTCAGAATGCTTTACAGATCTTTAAATTAGTACTGTAGCCATGAAATACTGACTAAATATTTTTCTACATATTAAAAAAAAAAAGAGGGGGGGTACATTTTAATAAAACCAACAAAGGCACTGGAATTGTGCAGACATGTCTCATTTGTGTAAGTTCATGATCAAAGGGGAAAAAATACCTCTTCTGTGCATGTCTTACTTGATATTGTAAGCTTCAGAACAGTGTTGAGCATTTACTGCTGGTCATAGATGTGAAATTTTGGTTGAAACTGTGCTTGCATATGAACTGAACTCAACTATAGTAGTGTTTTCCTGAAGGCATGCTTTTTATTAAGATACTTCAGCTTTGATGCAAAAGTATCCTTAGGTTAGTACATTAGTTCTAAAGTATGAGTCTTCTGTTTTTTAAAATGTCGTTTTGTTTTAAAGCCTCTGAGACCAGTAAACCTTTTTTGATAGAAATAATACTAGTTCATTCTGCCTCATTGTAGATGAGTCAGTCATAGTACCTGCTTCTAATTTGTTTTAAACTTTGGCATTAATGTAGTTTTCTATGATTTCACTGATGCAAGTTACCCAGGTATGCACTGGGTATTGCTGTTTCTCTAGTGTATTCAGCTGAGCCCAAATGCTTTACACTTAACGGGCAGCTGTAATAAAATGGGGAGGCTCTAATTCTAAGCCAGGGCTCCATATTAATGTGTCAGTTACCACTGATGGCAGAAGCTTTCAGCAGTTTTCTCCTGTTTGTACTGGGGGGGAGGAAGGAGGGGTGACACCTTGTATGGCTTGCAGTAATTTCCATATAAAGAGTTGCTCAGTCTAAAGAAGAAAAAGCTCCCGGAGGACCTCATAGTGGCTTTTGAGTACCTGAAGGGAGACTATAGGGAAGATGGTGAGGGGCTATTCAAAAGGTTTTGTATTACTAAGACAACAGGTAGGCTTGAAACTAGATGAGTGCGAATTTAGATTGGACATCAGGAAGAACTGTTTTACCTGGGGTACTGCAGCACTGGGCCTGGTTGCCCAGAGAAGTTGTGGAACTCCCTGGAGGAGTTCAGGACCGGATTGGATGGAGCTTCAGGCAACCTGGTCTAGTTCAAGGTGTCCCTGCCTGCAGCAACAGGTTGGAACAGGATGGTCTTTAAGGCTCCTTCCACTCTGAGCTGTTCTGTGATTCTGTGACATGGGGATGGTGCTGTCTTCTAGACCAGAATAATTTAAGAGGAAAAATGGATAGGAATCAGATGGAGCTTTTTGTGTGAATGCTAAGTCAAGTGGTTGTGTTAATTTATCCAACCTTAGTTCAGTATGTGGTTACCTTTGATATCTCTGTTTTTTTAAGTGACCCTACAGTTCAACTTGGTGGTTGAGTGGTATTTCCAATGTTACAGTCTTTAAGACAGCTGCTGACTCATCCTTGTGCTTCTTTGTAGCTGTGGGGCATTAAAAGACACTGAGTCCTGGTCTTTGAAAATTTTAGTATGTTCACTTAAGTAGACAAGTGTAAATGATTAATGCTAATTGTTTGTGTTAATAAGACCAGTTATCAAAAGCTTGCTTCCAATTCTTGTTGTTTAAGGTCCTCATTAGTTTGAGAAAACTTAAAGCTCATGCGAATGCCACAGTGAGGACCAGCAAGATTACTTGTAGAGTGCCAGTTAGCTTTTTCAAAAGCTCAGGAACATGCATAAAATAAAACTTAATTTTGAAAACTATGTGTTTTCTGAAAAATAAAATAGGGAAAATACGCTTCTATTTTTTACTTTTACTTAACATTTCAGCTTAAACTAAAATTCATAGAATTCTCATGGTTGTGTGCTATTTCTTTCCTATGAGAATAAATCTTTTAATTTATCCCTAGAGACTAAGCCAGAGGAGTTTAGAACAAATCTTTTTTCTTAAATTACTGATTTTTAGCTGAATCTGAAAGAGTATGTAGCCAGAATATTTGGATTTGGTCCATCTGCTCATAAATCTTAACTGCAGTATTGAGGTACAGGCATTTCTCTACACTCAAGCCTGGGTAAACAAAATACCAAGTGTTTTAAAAGGCAGAAGGTCTATATAACAATCTTACATGCATTTACTGTCATTATGTGCTGAAGATACTTTTTCGTGAGTTCAGCAGGGTCAGAATATTATGATTAGCAGAAGCATTTAAATTTAAACCTAGTAGGGAACTTTGGGTTAAATGATTCTTGCACTGTCTAGAGTTGGTCTTCTGTTAGTGTTCCCATAAAAGTTGAATCCTTTTGGTTACATTTGGGATTCTGAATATATCCCACTACCCGAGATCATACACTTAAGATGCACATGCAAATTCTTGAATTTGCTACTTCTAGTGTGTTAAAGATACATATTATGATGAGAAAATGGTTAATGTACATATGAAGATTCCACTTTCATTTTAGGCTTTGCTCAGTGGTGGCAGAAATACAGACTGTGTGATGCTGTTTGTGTGTATTATAGATGTGCCAAAACTGCTGCTCAAGAACATTTTCTAACACAGCAGGGGAAGACAAGCTGCAGGGAGAAGACCTCTACCATGTTTAAGACTAGCTTGTTTGTGGCTACTCAGGGTTGTCAGCTCTTATTGTCAGATATTACTTGTAAATGAAACGAGGTTATCGTTGAACTTAAGAGCAGCTTCACATCATTGATGGATTTGGTTTCTTCTAAGTGGACAGTTACTGGATAAGTCAGGTAATTTGACTGCCCAAGCCATTTTAAATTTGATACCATTAAATGGCAAACAGGGTACACTGCAAAACGTGGCAGATATCTATGGAGGCAGGCCCATGTCTGCAAGAGGAAGGAAATCCAGAAACAAGGAAGAAGAGGTATGCTTGCCGCATGTTTGCCACTTCCACTGCAGAAATAGCTCTGTTTTGAACTTCATTGTGCCTTTTTTCCCTGCATGGTTCATCAATGTAATGCAATGAAAGGACTTCATAAATTCCTAGGAAATAATTTATTCCTGGAATGTGGGTGTGTAATTTTTTTTATTAATATTATTTTGAATATTCATAAAACTGTTGTCTACAACAGTTATGAGAAAATGTCTGCCTGGAAAAGTCTGTTGAACTTGCATATGTATCTGTATGATGTAACTGTGTTGTAACATGTGTAACCATTCCTGGTCCCTGGTTATGTCAAGTACAATACTAGCTTACTACTGAGGAATGTAAATTTCAGTTTTGTTTTCATTGGATGAATGTTCTTCTGGGAATTATTATATGTTACTATAGCAATAGTAATTATGTTGGTTTTCCCCTCATTTCATTTCCCTTTTTGTGGAATCTTAACTGGTTTTGTAAGCTAACCGTGCTACAAACGGTTTCAGCGCAATTGAAAATTGCTTCCTTTCTTTGCCTTAGGAATATTTGGCAAGGTTAAGACAGATACGACTACAGAACTTCAATGAACGTCAACAGATTAAAGCGAAACTTCGTGGAGAGAAGGTCAGTTTGAAAAATAAATAATTTGAGAAGTTGGCTAGGGGATATAATCTTCTATCCTTGCAGAAACATTTCTCTCAGAAGCAATTATACATATAGTTCTACCATTTAATTCTGTTCCACAGTTAGTGTACTTCCATCTCTTTTTCTGGAACTAACAAAATTTGTTGGAATCCAATGGTTGAGCTTCAGTACATGTAGCCCAACAATCTTTTAAAGACAGGGCAACGTAAAGTTACATCAGAATTTGACACACAAACCTCCCACTGGAAAAAAGATACCTAAGATTTTTTGCTTGGGCTTTGTAAAATGATTTCTACTAGGACTCCTCCTTATACTGCACGAAGCCTACTTAAATAGGCTTATAAATAGTTTGTATTAAATCAGAGGTCTGTGCAAGTCGAGCTTTAACAGTTCAAGCCTACTGTGAGACTTGATTTTTTTACTCAACTCTGCCAGTCTGTTCTGTAAATTGCACTATGCAGAAGTTATGAAATAGGAGTTATTTAGAAACAGAGATTTTCATACACCATACATGTTCTTGTGTCCATTCTCCATCAACAGCCATCTACCCATTCAGTCTTCCCAGCATTGTTGGGTCAACTTTCACTGCCTGTGCAACTTTAGGTCCATTAATTTCTTGCTTTCTTGTTTGTAGAAACTTGATATCATTATCAGTAATTTCAAAAAGCAAGTTTAGGCCAGTTGGGTATTTTATTTAAGTGAGAATTTATCATGTAGAATTCTGACTTGTGTTAGGCAGGTGATCAGTCTGAATAATCCCATTGGTCACTTCTATCTCTCAGCTGTTAAAAACAGGTGCTAATGATAATTAATTGAGGACTCATACTTTGCAGAACGAAGCTCCCAGTTCTGATGGACAAGAGTCAAGTGAGGAAGCAGAAATGAAACGCAAAAAGATAGAAGCACAGAAGGTAATTGTGGGGAGGGAGTAAGTGGAACGCATTGGTTTTAAAATTGCCTTCTTAACTTAAAGTTTCTTACTATCAATATCTGTTTACACTTTCAATAATGAAGGTTTTCGTCTCTCGTAAGTCATAAATACTGTACTGAGGTAACAACTGCGTTCAACTGATTCATCTTTGTTTTCAAGTACGTTGTGGTGTGGCATAGTATATGAAGATTTTGGTCCCATCCTTTCCATAGAGGGCTAGAGATTAGCCCTGTATACTAGCTGTACTGCTAAAGGCACTTTGGTATAATAACTAGGATAGCCTTTTGATGGTAAAAGGGAAAGGAAAACGTAGCTTAAATAACATCTAGTTTAAAGAATAAATGACTCTTTGCTTGTGCAGACAGGGCCACAGGTAGATTGTAGGATGGGCTATTGCAGACTACTTGGAATCTTGTTTTGTTCGGTAGTTGAAAGCAAGTGTAATTCACAGGAATCCAGTTTTGGAGCTTTTTTCTCCTTGTTCTTTCTATATTAATAACCACCTCTACCATGCTATGTAACAAGTATTACTCTACTTATTCACTTTGTCCCCTCGTCTTCAAGGAGCAATGTAGAAACAAGCTGACCTTATGCCTAACCTTAAAACTAGAGGCGAAGCAGCAGCTGAAGCTTTTCTCATTTGTTGAATAAATACTGACAGTTTAAGCTGTATGTTTAATTGTTCATGGTTGATGTTCTGGATGATGATAAGCTGGACATGAGCCAGCATTGTGGACTTGCAGCCTGACTGACCAACTGCATCCTGGGCTGCATCATAAGAAACACCAGAGGGGATTGTTTCCTGTACTTTGCCCCTGTGAAGGCTCTATGTGCATTACTGTGTCCAGGCCTGGGGCCTGCAGCTGGGGAAAGATGCAGAGCTGTTGGAGTGGGTCCAGAGAAGGCCAAAAAGATGATCAGAGAGCTGGAGCACCTGTCTTGTGAACAAAGGCTGAAGCAGCTGGGCTTGGTTAGTGTGGGGAAGAGAAGATTTCTTCAGGAAAACCTCATTGAGACCTTCCAGTACTTGAAGGGAATTTACAAACAGGAGGGAGACCAACTTATTTTAGATGGTCTGATAATGACAGGTTTGGGGTGGGGGGGGGAACAGTTTTAACCTAAGAGGGGAAATTTAGGTGGAAATTCTTCACTTGGAGGTGAGGTACGGGAACAGCCGAGTCTGTGCAGTCTGTAAAGAATTAAGTTACAGAAAACAAGATGAAGTGATCCAAGAATGTTTCTGTGTAAAATGTTCAGCAGAACTGTGTACTAATGCTTTTTGTGTATATAGTTGATCCTTTTTTTCCTTGCTTGCTTGTTACAGGCCCAAGCAAATGCTCGAGCTGCAGTTCTGAAAGAACAGTTAGAGCGAAAGAGGAAGGAAGCATATGAAAGAGAGAAGAGAGCTTGGGAAGAACATGTAAGCAAATGTACACTAAGTATGTAGTGCCGTGCCTTTGTATGAATGAAGTCTTTCATTGTGAATTTCTACCTTAGACAAGTTTGCCTTCTGAAATAGAGGAGAGCAGGAGCCAGTCATCAGGATTATGTTTAGTATTTTATTCATTATCTGCTGCTTACCAAAATGTATATAATCTTCATTGGATTGTGTGTTGCAGAGAGAAGTCCAACTAGTGATAACTACAAAAAATACAAAATGCTGTGGATCTGATAAATTGGCTCCATGTAATTAACATGTGTAATTAACAGTTGCGTTTAGTGCAAAAATGTGCGATGTTGCTCTTCCTGAAGGTTTACAGGAGTGTATCTGAGCATACTGTGTTGAATGTGCAGTCTTTGATTTTTCTTTAATGTATCTTTACAGCTGATAGCTAAAGGAGTAAAGAATCCTAATGTGCCTTGTCATGTGGGAGCAGCAGGACACAGTCCTGTGCACGGAATACAAGAGCCTGGAGTATCTCTTCCTAAGCAGCAGCTTCCAGTTAAGCCCATCTCCATGACTTCTGCTTTGAAAGAAGTGGGAGTGGTAGGTAGTCTTGTGAAAAAATAAAAATGAAAAAAAGCAGACAAGCAGACTGGGTTGAAAAAGATTTTTTAGGAGAATGTGTGTATTAGGTAGAAGAAATAGTGATTGCTTCAAAGAAAAAAAGACTAAATACCAATTTTATAAGCTGCTGAAACACATCTGTATTCTGAAATTCAAATCTGGTCAATTTTGGACAAAATAGCAACTTGTTTTTTGATGAATGAAGTCGTGGTTAGAGGAAGAAGTGGTTAACTAGACATGAAGCCTCTTGAAGTCAGGTGTTAATGAGTTTGTAATCTGTGCCCAAGTAGAGTGGAACTGATAAATGTTAAGTCAGTCCGTTTTATATCCTTGATTCTTTTCACTGACTTTAAAAGCATATACTGATTATAACAAGTCTGACAGTCAAGTGTGACAGCATGGTCTGGGTTTGTTGTTTTAAGACAGTATTCCAATTTTATATTTTCTGTGGTCTTTGGTCCCAATAGTGTCAATGCTTACGTGTTTGTTTACTGTCATCTGATTTAAGCAATACCATAAAAACTCAACATGTGACTGCACAACTTGTGTTTTAAATGCAATCTGTTAATTTGAATGTTAACCTTTGTATTATTACCTAGGTTATAGATTTAATTATAGTACAGGGTTATAGAGCGTGTATGAACTTGGATATGACGATAGGAATACAGTTAAAATTTAGCACAAAGTGATTTATGTGACTGAAAGGTGTCAGTTGATAGCTGGGAAGATAAATTGTGTTCTGATGCAAATATCTAAATCATGGAGCACTTTTTTCATGTGGATCATCCGTCTTACAGCAAAGTAAGAGAATAACTCACTGAAAATCAGAGTGCTTAGTTGATCAGAAGGACAAGCCTTGTGCATAATGATTAGAATTTTTGCATTCCTGCCTTCAATTATGTTGAATTATTATGCATATTTAATCTACAGTTTAAAACCAAGTATGCTTTCTGAAGGCAGCTCATTGTGAATGTTTTTAAGACTCTGAAGGGGCTTACCCACTAGTTCAAACTGTATTGCTCTTGTAATTGAAGCAGATGAAGAAGAATGTGAAGTGTTTCTCTGAAAAATGCTCTGCATAATGCAGTATTTGCCTTTTCTTGCTGTAATTGTTGCCAGTCAACTTTGTCCAAGCAGGTTTTCTTTGTGTTCTAGAATACTAAGGCAGTACTATTCTTATTCTTACTGACTTGGTAATATATGTGCTGTCATTACAAAAACTGTCTTTTGTGCTTTATTCTTTTCTTGACAAATGCTCCTGGACTCTGTCCTCCCAACTTCTTTGTTCTCACACGACTGCTGTTTTCTAGTATTGGATCTGAGTGTCATTTTGCTGTGTGTGACATATCTAGCTTTATCTCTGCCTTTATTATGCCGTGAGTTTTTACTTAACAGATTAATTTGGTCACTGCTTAAGACAGCAAACAAGTCAGACTTGTGTCCTTTAAAGTGCTTGTGAAGCACCACCAAACCAGAAGTGTTGTGCAGTCTGTCATAATCTACCTATGCTTGTCACTGAAAAGTCACCTCTAAGAGCCTTTCACTATGTAGATAAAGATTATTTTTTCTGCTGTACCTTCTACCTTATTTTTCCTGCTTCTTGGATTTAAAGGATGGAGATGTAACCGCTGCCCAGGAGGTTAAAGAGGAAGTCAAGAAGCCAGATCTTGCAGTGCAGGTATGTCAGGCTGCATTCTGTTTAATTTTCTTTTCCTTTTCAAGAAAGATGCTGTTTTAGGTAATTATCTGTTGATCCTTATTTCAGAACAAGCGGCAAATTCTGAAAAGATTAAATCAAAATCTTAAAGCTCAGGAAGATGAGAAAGGAAGAAAGGATGATAAAAACATCTCTGAGTCGGATGGGTCCGAAGATGGTAAAGAAGAGCAGGAAGATAACTATCCACTTGTAGGAGATCGCAAAAGATGGGCATCAAGAGCATCAGATTTGGTAGTTCCTTTAGCTCAGTTAACAATGGAAGAGTCTCTCTCTGGAACGGACCGTAAGCACTCTTGTCATGATATCAGTAAATCAGTTTGCACTGTGTAATGCCTGCTTTTTATCAATCTTCATTTATTATTATCCTTTTGTTATCACTTGTGTCTCATTTGCTTCTAAAGAAGGTGGCTATGTATTCGGTTGGAGAAGGAGTAAGGCATGTGTTTAGTAGATAAATAACCTGCAGGCCATGTGAAGAATAAACTCAATGAACAGTTGCCTAATTAAATACCTGGTTTATTTCTTCAAGCTGCCTTTTTAAGGGTCTGTTAAATAGGCACTAATCTAACAGAAAGAACAGATACAGTTAAAATAAATGAACTTTATTTTGCTCTGTGTTTCTTTGATGCCACTTGCAGCAATTGGATGGATCAATAAAGTGGGAAAAGGTGTTGCACTACAGGTGTAGTGTCCGAGGATTGGCACGATAAAGGAAGGGCAGAAGATTGCTCACCCATACAGGGAGATTCTAGGTTCTTCACAGAGGAAAGCTGCACAAAGGAGGGATGTCCAGGAAGAGACCCTTCCCCAGTGGCACTCAGCCCTTAAATGGGGGCTGCAGCCTTCACCTGTGCTCCCAGGGCTGAATCAGTCCTTGCCTCAGGTGATCAATCAGTGGTTCAGGCTGTGACTCAGCAGTTCCCATACACAGCTTTTTATCCTCTGTTTTCCTCAGAGGGAGAAATAGTAAGAAAAAAAAATGTCCTGGTATCTTATGACAAGGGATTTTCAATTTTTTTTCTTCCATATGAGCAAGCTGGTAGAAGTGGAGGTGAAATTTTTAATCAAGTGGTATTAAGACAGACTTTGACAACTATAAACATCTCTCAAACTTGTTCTTCCGGAGTACCTGAATTGATGAAAGTAATCCTTGCTTTTACTGTGAAGTAGATGATGTTAATTGTTGATTGTAAATTTAGTAACTTATCATTAAAAGGAGTTGGCAGAAGAGGAAATCCAGACTTCTCACCATAGTCTTTAAGCTCTCTGACTTGAGGCGAGGAGCATGATACTGAAATTGTAGTTTTTGGTTTTGTGGAGGTTTTTTGTTTACTATGTATAAAGTGAATGACAGTTTAACATGTTTTTGTGTCTTGACAGGGCAAACTATGGGAGAAGTAATTAGGCTGGATATTGGTGAACCTCGCAGGAAAGTCTGGGGCAAAAGCCCTACTGATTCGGTCTTGAAGATTCTAGGAGAAGCAGAGCTGCAGCTACCAACTGAAGTACTGGAAGAAATAGATGTAATAAATGGTAAGCACTGCTGGTGATCATTTATGCTGCAAGTGTAGGAAGTTCTAGCTTCACAGTTAGTCTATTGAGAACAATTTTGAAGTGATAGGAACATATTCTGTCCATATTCTTGTTGCTTCCGTGTGTTGCCTCAGTTAGAAGTGTTCCTAAACATTCAGAATGGCAGCATAAGCTGATAGCAAAAGATGTTGAAATATTTAACTCATTCAAGTAGTTACAAATTAAGATGGGTGTGCAGCAAGGCAAGGATCTTCCTTTTGTCAAAAAGCCATGGAATTGGCTTGTTAATATAAATGAGTCTGTGTATTTTTAAATAATGCCATCAACCAAATACTGTATTGCACAGTTCCTACTGCTTGCTGTTGGGGTGTAACTTAGCATAGTAGCAGAATTTCATTCTGGATGAGTTTGTCTTGGGTACAAACTCTGTTGCTTCTTGTCTTTGCTAACTTTCTTACCTGTTCTTTTGTTACTGCCATTTGTGTTCTCTTTCCTATTTTCTTGTGCTTTATAAATGGTAGACACAGGAAGCTTTTAGAGCTTTAGTATATTTTGGTCCTTGTCAAGTAGTTGCTTGTAATAGAACTGAGGAGGGTGGTATTTTGCTTCAAAAAAATAAATGTAAGGCTTAGTTATATCTGTTATATATATACTGAGAATGTTGGCTGTTAGCCAACACAACAGTCTGTTTCAGGTACCTTTTCATCTTAAAATTTAAAGCAGCAAAACATGATTATCTTGCCAACTTTAGCTAAAATTCAAATAAGAAATATTACAGAACAGTACAAGTTCATTCCAAATATGTAGGTTGCTCTGAAAGTAATGCTTCCCATTTGTTTATATGGAGATGACAACAGATGCAAAGAGCACAGTAATACTGTTAGAGCAGACTCCCAACTATTAAACACTAACAACTTCTGGTTTGGGATTCATTTCTAACAAGGTATGACTTAATTAATTTTAGAGCCGGATGATTTGGAAGCAGAGGTGTTGAAAGAAACTGAAGAAAATAAAAAAGACCAGAGCAAGGAATTTCCCATCTCTGTTAATGAAGTGTGGGTGAAAGAAAAACAGGATAAGTGAGTTATTCCTTTATTGATCTCTCTCTCTCTCTCTCGTTCAGATAACTAGCTATGTTAGTTAAAACATTAAGTTTACCTAAAGCTTTGTTGCTTGTCTGTACTTCCTGGTTGAGGATTTTTTCAATGGACTAATGACTGTTTTAAATTTTGTTTTCTAATAGTGCACAACATGACAGAAGAGATGAAGCAGCTTTGGAGAAAGCAGTACTTGATGAAGTGCAATCACAAAATGAAGCTCCAGGAGGTTAGTGAGTGTATTTTGTGTTGTGACTGATGGGACAGAATGCTGGAGCTATCCCTCTTCTCACTCCTTCACTAACCTAACAGAGCAGATTTTCTGTTTTCATTCTGTTTTTTAGTTCAGGACAAGTTTGTTGTGAGTTAGGAAGATGACTTGTGGGTATTCTTTTTGCCACTTCGGAAGAAAAGATGTAGCATCAAAGCTATGTTATGTATACACAGGGAGAATAGCCCATTCTTTATTACTTACAAATAAATATCAAGCACAATAACAAGTGAATATCATTCACAAGAATGTTATGATCTTCTAAAATGACTGTTCTAAGTGTTAAGAAGCCTGGTGGTTTTACTTGGTAAGAGTCTTCTTTGTTTGTTGACATGGCTAATATTAACGTTAAAATGCAGTGTGAGTAAAAAGATGTATTTTAAACAACTGTTAATGATAATCTGTTGTCTTCATTGCCTGGAGGAGTTGCTTGCTTTTTGAGGTTTCTAAGCTAATTCCAGAAGATGTAAGTATTTTATACCAGAAGGGAAAATACATCTACAGTAGTGTTGGTGATACTGAGACACTGATTAATTTCTCCATGAAGCAGTCTGTACATTTTTTCCTGTGTTGAAACACATATGTTGAGGTAAGTTTGAAGAAATGTAGTATAAGGCAAGGAAAAAAATGAGAGTGGATGATTCCATCATTGCAGATACAGATTGGACCATGGTAAACAAGAGGGCATAAGAATGGAATAGACTGTAGCTAGGAGTTATGGATTCTTAAAAAATACATGGGAGAATTTCACATTATAATGCTTTTACTTAAGTAATCCAAACAGACTTTAATACTCTTATGATATGATCTATTTTCCTTCTAATTGTACAACAGAACTTGGTTAGGCTCTGCTCATTTTAGTTTCCTTTTGCGTGAGAGCTTGGAGGTATAAATCATTTAGATTTGTAATGAACTTTTTTTATACCACCTCAGAAACTTGTTCCAGTGACTCTCTGCAACCTGAACCGTTATTCCAGAGGGTGATACAGCCCCCAGCTGTACCTACAGCCTCACCAGTTCTATCATCTCAGTCTTCCCAGGAAGAGCCTTTTGTACCTCGTTCTCGTTCCAGATCGCCAGCAAAAAATAAAGGGAAAAGTTCCTTGTTTTTTGGACTTTCTACAGGGCTGTTTGATGCAAACAACCCAAAGGTAACACATGTTTATTTCTTCAGTAATGTTTTTCATCTTCCTGAGTCTCCATGAGGCCAAAACAGGTGGCATAATGGTTTGTATTGATCTAATTGTGTCTGCCATGCAGTGTGATTGCACTGTGTTCGTTATGTGAGTAGGGCTCACATGGTGTTTTGAGTCTCTGGTTTCATGTTCTGCATTCTGCCATGTATAATCAATGAATATACAGGTGTTATAATTAGAAAACATACAGGAAAGTTAGGCTAAACAGGTTATCACACTAAAGAAGATAGTATGGAAAGCTTGCCCTTGTCCTGGGCTCACTCAGAAGACTCCAAGAGGAACAATCTCCAGAAGAGATCCTTCCTCACTGGTAGTCAGCTCTTACATGGGGTCCAGGAGAGGTGCAGCCAGGCTCCATGCCTTCCAGTAACACGGGAGAGTTGTCTTCACCCGTGCTTGCAGGGCTGACTCATTGCTCGCCTCAGGTCAGAGGTTCAGGTCATGATTCAGCAGTTCCCATATATGCCTCCAAGTGTTTATGGAGGATTTGTCATCACTTGAGGAATGATGTTACTTAGATTCAACTGAGGAGATTCTTACTCTCTACCTTTCCCCCTTTTTACAGTTTTACAAACGTTGCACTATTTTGCCATCGTAAAAACTGAAAAGAGCAATGAAGGCATTTCACAATTTCTAGTAATGAGGTGACTGGGTTTAACGTTCAGAGAAAGGGGGTAGTGCAGTGTGAAATCACATGGAATTAAAAATAATTTAACAATAGGTATGGAACCAGTAGATGAAATGGGCCTAAGACTGTGCACTTCTTGGATAGATTCTAAAATGCGAAGTGCATAGAAGGAAAGCTACTTTGTGAGGAAACATGGGTGATTGGCAACTTGCACATCTGCAAATTTGATCATTATTTGGTGTGAAGACTTCCTAGCTGATGAAATGCTAGACCAAGAAGAATGTTTCTTGTGATTCTGCTATTGTTGCGAATGCATGAATGGAAATTGCACTCCTTGATTAATAGAATACTGAAAGATACCTGTTGGTTGATGAGGAAGTTTATTACTGCAGATGGTGCTGTTGGCGTGTTCAGAAGAATAAATGCTTCTTGATGAGCTGCAGAGAGACTATTTTCACAGACTAAGGGATTTACAGTGAAGTTGTCACTAAGCACAGAATGAACTTTGTACCTTGAACAGATTTAAAGCAGTGGACAAGCTTTGTAATGAAGCTTGTCAGCGTATGACTATGAATCATCTCAGCATGTCATGTTCCTGTTGATTTGACACGTTCTTTGGCCATAAGTGTGTGTCCTAATGGTTAATGCTGTGCCAGATGAGCTGTACATAGTAGCAGAGAACTTGGAGAAAAGCAGCAGATGTTCTGTTGTTGTTGCAACAGAGAGACCAAAGAGAGCAATCAATTCCCTTTTCCTGCTTGATTGCAGCCAGAGGAAGTTCAGAACTTGAGTGAAAATTAGCTTGTGCTTCTTTTTTTATTGGGGTGAATATTCAGTGTTTTTTGGGGTTCTTAAATTTGCTGAGATCTCAGTTGATTACTAAGGCAAACTGTTTCGCTGTTGCTTTATTTCTGCTGCTAACAGCATAGTATTTTAAACTTCTAGTACTGGGTAACTGCTTGGAAATTATTGTTTTCAGTATTCTACTTTGAGAAATAAAAGCTGACGTTTAAAAACAGATCGAAGCAACTTGTAACCACAGTCTTGCGTTGTTTCCAAACACGAGGCTTTGTTACCTTTGCAGATGTTGAGGACGTGTTCGCTCCCGGATCTTTACAAACTGTACAGAACCTTAGTTGATGTTCCCAGCATAGCAGATGTGCAGCATCAACACAGCCTTGAAATAGATGATACAGAAGATGAGCAGGCCAAAGAAGGACCCTCTGATTCGGAGGATATGTGAGTGCAGTAGCATTATCGAGTATTTAAAAAGGCGTCTTACATCAAGACTATTTTTGGTTATACGTTATGATATACTGTATACCATTGTAGACCAGAATGGATTTGTTTAGCTAGCCAGACTTCAAAAGACCCTGTATTTCATATCTGTTTGGTTTGAATCAGTGTTCAGTCTGACTCTTGTTCAGAAAATGGCACAGCTGATGGGATGTCCTATTTGCAATGTCTGTCTGAACTGTTTCCGAATTCCATCTGTCTTGCTTTGGTTCTTGGAGCAAGAGAGGAGATCCTCTGATATTCTCTGAGTAAGAATGAGATGCAAGCGTGGTCAGATGTTGTCTGAGTAGTTTATTACCTAATGAAAGTGACGGGGAAGGGACAGGCTGGTGATTATTACTAATTAGGGTGAAGGGGAAGGGAAGGTGGGCCATAGGAAAGATGGGAAGAGAGCAAGAATTCAGTAAAGCAGGGATAGTCACCAGCAAGGATGCAGTAGTGTCCCATTGTGTGCCATTCCAACAAAGCTGATGCAGAATTTAGGGTGCAGAGGGAGGCAGACTGGCTGGCATTAGGCAGCAAGCAGGCACATGGTTCAACCGACAGCGGATCTAGGAGGCAGGCAGGTCTCAGATAGCAGGCCCAGGAGAATTGGGCAGCGGGCAAGTTTCATGCCACAGGGTGTCCGCTACCGAGCTCAGTGTTCCTGGTTTGTAGGTTTCTTCTGCCCAGCATTCCTGGGCACTTAAGTTAGAATCATGTGCAGCACCTGTTGGCAGGCATGTCCTATTGCTTGAGATGTGCCCACAAAAGGCAGTTCATCAGTAGTGTAGCAGCTGCTTATCTCTCATTGCCTTTGGCCTGCAAGTCTTCAGACAAAAGATTTCTTGGACTTGTCTGTCTGTTGAAGTTGTCCAACAGCAAGCTTTGAGGCAAAGGAGCTGAAATAGTCTCTTACAGCATCCAAGATGCTTTTCTGTCTGTCTTTGCTCCTTACATTCCCCTGAAACAGATCAAAGTTGATGGCTACCATTCTTCTGAAAATGAAGAATTCTTTAATATATCCCTTCTTTTCATGTTCAAGGGATCTCTGCTCTCCTGTCTTCCTTGCTGTGGTATTGGGATGTCCTTAAATTGCCCCAGATTCTTCCAGGGGCCTCAAGGTCTGACCCTGGGCTGACTGTTACACTCAGCTTGAGTAGTCTGCAGGGATGAAAACTATCCAGTCTGTCTGTTCTGATGAGACCTAGATCTGTTTTGTTCCAGGTAATTCTATGTGGTTTCAGGTTTTCATTTCTTTCTAGGGTTTCCTTAAAATGCATTCATTTTGTTACTCATCCCTGGACTCTATAACCTAGCTCTTAGTTGTCTTTTGTTTCTCTCATCCTAAATTTTCATTTGTTCATTGTGACTTATAAACAAGACAATCATCTTCCCTGTCAGTGTAAATTAAGCTTAGGTCTTTGTGTTGCTTTGTGGTTGTTCTTGGTGGTGGTTGAACCAACTTCATCAGTTTACTGCTGTCTTAGGACTGCATGCATGAAATTTGCATTTCTCAAGGCTAGTGGATAAGGTATTTAACTCATACCTGTGCATTGGGAATATTAGTACAAATATTATTTGTCTCTGCATTTGTATTCCTGTGCTATTTTTATTTCATTAACAAATGCAAAGCACACAAGTTATTTTCAATACTTCATTGCTTATCCTCAGCCCATCTTCCTTCTGCTTCATTTTTAAGATAATTCTACTTGTTGGTTCTTACTGCCAGTTCCTATTGCTCACATACTAAAATAAGCTGGCAGTCTTAGGAATGGAGGTTCTTGCAGCAGTTGTCCCACACGTATATATAAAGTGCCCTGAAATCCTACATTTGGAAATGAACAAAAGATGAAACATGAAGCAGAGGAACAAATTGTGCAGTTATTTCTGGTGCTGAAGTGCTGCCCCTGGCACACGTGCTGCTTTTGTCTAAGGTTTTCTGTTATGTTTTGCATAAGTGAGCGTTCTGATGTGGAATTAAGTCAGTCTTTCCTGTTCTCTTCTTGAAAAGTGATACTTGCAGTTTCTGGAGCATCAGTTGTGCTTAGCCAAGTCAGAGTAATCCAGATCTACCTGATCTTTAGTTATCACATCTCCTCTTGAGTTTGTGTGGAAAGAGAACTCTGCCCGGTTTGAGTCCCAGCATACAGTCTCTTAGACAGAGACTGAAGAAGAATCTTAGAGTTGGTTGTCTGAGTTGGATTAATTATTTTGCCATAATTAGTATTGTTGTGCTCGCAACACAGGGTTTTATAACAGACCGTGAGTACAAAGGTTGTTTGAACTGATTTTCCTAATGAAGTTTAACAGATCACCTGTCTCATCGTCCTTCTACAAGATGCTCTAGTGTCTGCTTAGGCAGATCTTTATTCCCTGTGCCTGGCACTGTGTAGTGGTATTAGGACTGTTGTGATGAGCTGTGGACGTAAATGTCTTCAGAAAGTGCTAATTTGCTTGATGAACCTCGTAGTTATAGGAAAAGAAATAGTTCTATGTATACAAATGTTTGTCTCATTTTTCTTCTCCTAAAAGCTCCACTGTCTTTGGTTTGTTGGCTTAACAAAAGATATGAACTCTTTGTAGAGTTTGTCTTGAAAAGCACAGCTTTACATAGTCTTTGCCACTTTCTCCTAGCATGTTTGGGGAGGCCGATACAGATTTGCAGGAACTCCGGGCCTCAATGGAACAATTGCTTAGGGAGCAGCCTGAGGAATTAAGTGAAGAGGAGGAATCTACTTTAAAGGCTAACGTCATCAAATGCATGACAAATGGTACGGAGCTGGATGAAGCAGATGAAAATAACCCCAGCAGTGAAAGTGCTCTTAATGAAGAATGGCAGTCAGGTACAATTTGTTATACGTGTTTCATGAGCTGTTCATTGATGTTAACAATAATGACACAGAAGAGTTTTGCATTTTATAAGGGAATCAAGTTCTGAATAATAGTTTCTCTAGAGGCTTAAAAAAAAAAATGTTCTGATGTTACTTGAAGTTTTCAGTGCGTGAAGGTCAGCATCTAAGTACATGTTTATGTTGCAAATTATGTAGCAGCTGTTTGTTAGGCAATGACCATAAGTCTTTTTTTTCTCTAGTTGCCTGAAATGTGCTTCCAGGGAAGATCAGGAAGATCCTTTTAGAATAATTCAATAGCTTTCTGCTGTTGGTGGTTTTCTTTCACTGGTTCTTGTTTAATGTTGTGTTCTTTCTTTACAGATAACAGCGATGGAGATATTGCCAGTGAATGTGAAGAGTGTGATAGTGTCTTCAGCCATCTGGAAGAGCTGAGATACAACCTGGAGCAGGAAATAGGCTTTGAGAAATTAATTGAAGTTTATAATAAAATAAAGGTTTGTGGAATAAACTCAACTGGAAGCCATTTTAGGAAACAAGATGTATATGTAGGGCTGCATACTGTGCTAGTAACAAATAGCATTGTGTGGCTAGAATTAATGCTTATTTGTTGAGTCTTTTGTTTTCTTTCAACACAACTAAAACATAAACACAGAAAATCCCAGTGAATTGAAGGAGGAAAATGTTGGGGTTAGCAACAGACTACATGGAGTAAACCTGAACTGTTTTATTCTAAACCCATTTCAGACCTCACCACGTGGATTGTTCTTTTTCCCAGGCTATACATGAAGATGAAGATGAAAATATCGATATTTGCTCAAGCATAGTTCAGAATATTCTGGGAAATGAACACAAACACTTGTATGCCAAAGTACTTCACCTAGTCATGGCAGATGGAGCCTACCAGGAAGGTAATATCACTGGCAGTGATGGTTTGTCCTAATGTTTGTTCTTGCTTACATAAAGAAGTTGTGAAAAATACTTCCTAAAACAGATGCTTTGTTAGACAGCTGGTCAGCAATGCAGATTGATGGTGTTTTTTTTCCCCACAAACAGCTTTTTTATTGCTGCAACATGATGTGGCCAACTGTCAGTGTGCTGACACTAATTTAACATTGCACGCGTAGAATGAACTGTAATATTGCTGCACATTTTATAAGGCATCTGTTAATAATGACTTTCTGTGAAACCATTCTGCAGGTTGGGAAGATGAAGTCTAGAATCAAGTTCTCAGAACAAAAAATGATTCTGTTTTAGGAATTCAATTGTGAAGTAATATTTCCCTTTCCAAAACTACTTTTAATGGGTTCTGGTGTTGAAAAGTAGCAATGCTGATTCAGAAAAGGAAACTTTGTGTGGGTCTTTATTCTATAATTGCAGTTTCCTGAAAGACCTTGCTGTGGAGATAGAATCCATCTTAGTCTTGCAGTAGCTCAGTAATACATGGAGAGCATTAAACTTGCTGGGAGCCCCCCTTGTGTTTGCACAATGTGCTGTGCAGGCAGACAGCTCCTGGGTACTCAGAGTCACTTGGTGCAATTCCACCCAGCACCCTGTCTGTGAGAAAATGCTGTTGGCTTTTTCTCTCCTGTCAAAAAACTAATTGCAGCTATGTAATGTTGTCTGGTGCCGAAAGACTTAACTGGGGAAGAAAAGATAGGAATCTAAAACGTCAGTTATTTGTACTGAAGTCAGAAGCTTCATGTATTAGTTCTAGAAATGTGTGCAATAATCACTATTTGCTGATTTTCAAATTCTGAGTATTTTAATGCATGTTTACCAATGTTTGCTAACTGCATCTTTCGATTTCTTTCACAACTATGTTGCAATAGCAAGTGAAGAAAAGGTCAGATGATTACAGCTTGCTAAGCTATTTATACAGAAATGGGAAAAAATGTCTTAAAAAGCAGTTCTAAGAACACAATCATTAAAAATAAAAATCTATATTTGGGACAAATTACTCTTCATGTTTCCTTTCTTTGCTGCTGATACAGAGCTGCTGAGTCAGAACAAACAGGTCAGCGTTGTTTTAATTCTGTGTTATGGGAGGATGGCAGAAAAGCATCATAGATATTTTTTCAGCCACTTTGAATAACTGGAAAATAAGCTGCAGTTGTTTGTCAAGCATCTGGAGGGCTGGCAACTCAGAACAAGAAGAAAATGGTAACCACAGTGTTACCCATTTCTTCTCCTTGACATTTCTCTGTTTAAGGATACTTTAAAACTAATCCTGAAAGGCTTCAATGCCAGTTTGCTGAAAAAATGTTGGCATACAAACGGTAAGCTTTTTGTCTGAGTGAATACTGTTAAAATGAGCTGACTGTGAGATGCTGATGAACAAGTAGCTGTTTTTAATAGCTTCAGTTTTAATTCTGTATTCTACAAATCTGTGATTCCCTATGAGACTGTTAAGAAAAGATCATTCTTCCCTTGTGCAATTTAAGGAAAAAAAGTGCTAACAAAGGCAAGTAAGGACAAAAACGTGTTGAGGAGCTTCTATCTCAAAAGTTTTGTACTCGTCAAGTACTCTGACTGTTGTTCTGTAGATTGTTCTGTAAGACCAGATTGTGTTTTGCTGGGTTTTATGGCTTGTTTTCTCTACTGTATCCTTTTCACCCTGCCTTTCCCTCTCATGGTTTTTACAGATAATGACGAATAAAGCTGACTCAGGAAACTCCCTAGTGCTGCACGACACATCAGTGTTCAAAGTCTGCACAGCAGAGTAACAGATTGTAATGAGAATGTAACATGGGGCAGGAGAAAGAAGAGCTGGAAAAAGAGTGCTGACAGTATGAAGCAGAGAGGAAAAAAGATGCCTTTTACCCTCAGATATGTATACACTTCTCTTGTGTGTCTTGCATACGTGGTCATTAAATATTAGATGCCTAAATTTGAAAAAACAAGCTATAATCTCTCTCTCTCTCTCTCTCTCTCTCTTTCTCTCAAAAAAAGGAGTAAATGTAGGTGTTCTGATACAAAACCAATTCCTACAAGGTAAACCTGAGTTCTTGTCATAGCAGCAGCTGGCTGATAGGGTTATGGAGCTGGAAGGATTACAGTGTTGTGAAAGCAGCCATCTCTAGCTGTTCGTTTGCTTACTTAAAGTAGTCCTTCTGTACACCTACATAAAGAAACTGTTTGTTTTTATTGACTCCTGTGTTTGTATTTTAATAGCATCTTAATCCGGTGGTCCAGTTTGAGTATTTCACTTTTTTCTTAATAAAATGTATTTTGAAGCTAATGATTTCTGTCACTTCTTAAGTGTCATCTGCAAGATCTGACAGGCATTGTTCTGAACTCAAGGCAGACTGGTATTTCAGTTAGCGAAACACTTGAGTGTTTTGTTTTGGAGGCAGTGCAATTAACATGGAGCCAGAAGGCTTCACTTATATTCTTCCTCTGAAAATTATTTACACTTGAAGTTTTGCCATCCAGTCAACGATAATGCCGAATATTGTTGGAAGATGTTTTCTCTCATGTTTGCTTTCAAATTCTTATTGTTATTTTCTTGGCCTCACAGCCAGAGGGGAAGGTGTGAAATGTTACAGGCCAGAGTGCTCCCTGACTGGTCATCTTCTGGGCCATGTTTCGTAGTTTTGTATCTTCCACCCCTGAAATTAATGACCTGACTCACCTTTTTGTTTCTCCTGTCCAAGTATTGCTGTACGGAGCCAACATGAGCTACATTGTTTTCACATCATCGCTGCGGAGGTTCAGTTGGCTTATCCATACAACGAGTCTCCTGTTGCAAACCCAATGAACTGTCAGACTTCCAACTGTGCCCTGCTGAAGAAAATAAAATGTTTTTTCCAGCTAGTATAAAATACAGCCAATATAAAACTGCCAGCTTTTCCACCAAGTACCATCAGATAGACATGATTTAGAACTGATGCGTACGTGTTTTCTGTATAATGGTTTTGTGGAGTTAAGATTGATGTTTCACCCACTGAAATGTGGTGTATTTTTAAATGTCTGATTTAAGGTAGACCGAAAGGACTCCGTTTCAGCTGTATCATGGGAACTTATGGTGAGAAATCTAAAGAAAAGATTGCATGATTTACTTGCCCTTAATGTACTGATTACAATTTTATATGTGTATTTACCTGATGATCATCTCTTGCTTTATCTGGTGAGGAAATACAATCACTGCTGGAAACTGTGGCTGCTGACCTATGCTTCATCTTTTTTTTCAAGTTTTCCATGCTAAATGGTGGTCCTTCTTAGTAAGCTTCTCTTCCATTCCACTTGTCTTCAATGAGATCTTAGTGCAGTGGAAGGATCCTCATCAGCTTACATCATCCATGTTGTTCAGCTAATACAACTTAAAAGAGTTTACACAGACCAAGTCTGCATTATTTTCCTTTTTTAGTACTGCTTTTCAAATTGTATCTTGCACCCTTTAGGAGAAAGGAGGACTAAAATTCTTTAATACAGAGAGATTTTTCTCAAATAGGGGTTAGGTTGTGTTCAGTTGCTTTTCTATTGAGATCACATCATTATTGACATCCTTCATTTCTTATGCAGGTTGCTGGCTAACAGATGAAGGCTTTACAGATGTAGAGCTTTTTATCAATGAATGATTTGAGAAATATGCTTAGACTGTGCACAGCTTTTCAGAGATTACTATTCAGACCTACCAATCAATACTGCATATCCTTGAAAATCCTCAGGAGCTAATTTTAATTTGACACAGCAATTAATTTTGTATGCTAAAGTAATGCCTTCATGTGAAATTGTAGAACTCTATTGAAGAGCCCTGTACGTTAGTACAGTGTAACTGTGTCAGTGATTTCTTTTTAAGGGCAATGCAGTGATCTGCTTGTAGTAACTTATTGAATTGGTTGAGTATTTGGCTTGCATTGATAAAATTGCATTCACTGTGGGAAGCTTTCTGCTACAAATCCAGTACCAAACATACAGAATGGTGGTTTTGGCTCAGAACATCTATTTTTTGTTGTGTCCCTGTCTTCTGGCTTTTATCTTGACCCCTGAAACCAGCTGTAGGTGAGAGAAGGAAAAAGCAATTAATTATATATACATATTTATAAAAATCCAAAACACAACAACAGTAATAGATCTCAGTACCTGCCTGCATTGTGTTGTCCTGCAGACATGGTTACAGTCCTTGTCATGAGACTCCTCTGGCAAGGCAAGCTGTGACATTTATAGCTGTATGTGTGCATCGAGCTTCCTGACCCTCAACTAAATAGAACAAATGCCCGCAGCTCAGCAGGCTCACAAGGAACCTGAGCTTGTACCCTGTGGCAGGAAGATGAGTCTTGTGCTGTCCCAGCTGCCTTTGTTGTGGGTGGAACAGGTAGACAGTAATCCTACCTAAAGTGCTGGTGCCTCACATCTTATTAGAATCACAAAACCACTTGGGTTGCAGAAGACCTTGAAGATCATTGAGTCCAACCACAACCTGCCCATGCTACCCTAACTCTAACAGCCCTCTGCTCAATCATGTCCCTGAGCACCACATCCAAACGGTTCTTAAACACATCCAGGGATGGTGATTCAGCCATCTCCCTGGGGAGCCCATTCCAGTGTTGTTGTTGTTGTTGTTTGGGTGTTTGGTGTTTTTTTTGGTTTTTTTGGGTTTTTTTTTTTTTGGAAATGGAAGTGAGGTGGCTTTTGCTCTTTGATTTGCTTTACTTTGAGAGTGTATTTAAAGTTACTACTCGAATGTACTTCAAAAAAACGTGTTACCTGCTCAGGCAATGCAAATCACAACCAAGGCACCTCCCTGTTTCTGTGATCTGGGAAGTGAACGGCTGGTGAGAACAAAGCTTCCCTCATTCTGTCTGTTCGTGTAGCTGTTTACAACACTGATTAATTTTTTTTTTGGCTCCTCCTACTTTTGCCTCCCCCTTGGTCTGATTTGCACAGAAATGCTGTACGTTCATTCAAATATGCTTCCTCAACGTTTCTGAAGTTTTACAACCTTGCACGAATCTGCTGAAAACTCAGTACTTGTCCAGGATTTCTCTTTCTACACGTGTTTGTAGGGTAATTACACTCTTCAAAGACTGATGGTCCTCAATTCCACACGGAAGTGTGAGTTCTTAGCCCAGTATTTAGCATAAGCATTCTGATGTGCTGTACATTTTCTCTTTGTTTTCTTCAGGCTGGAGAGCTGGGTGGGAGAAGAACAGCAAGTGTCGAGCAAGCTTGCTTGCCTTTGTATTTGCTGTGTACTGCTTGGTGTTTGTTTTGTATGACAGAATCATTTAATTGCCTCTACAAGAGCTGAAATATTGGGATTGGGGTTATGTCATGTACAAAATGCTTCCTGGTGAGCAAAGGGCTGGTTTTCCAAGTCAAGATTCAAATGCCTGTTACACACTTGAAAGTTACGCTTTCAAAGGAAAATAAGTAAAATATCTAACGATGTTTAAGTACAGCAGATATCTAAATTGTTTCTTAAATACTTGTGTTTCTTGATGTGTTAAATAACGTGCCTCTATGTTTTATAAATCAGCTATTAAATTTGAAGCAAATGACCTCAGTTTCATTTCTTGGTGGGTGGGTTATGGTGGGTTGGTGGGCCGATCGATACTTATTTTCATTTCGTTCTTGCTCCTTTATGCAAGCATGTAACAGAGATCTGATCTCTTTTAAACAGAGCTATTACAGAAAGTAAGGTTCTGTCTATCAGCTGCTATTCGTGGCTCCCCACCTACTAACAAGAGGTGCTTTCTGTTCAGTGCAGCAGTTGGGGCGAGTGCCTCAGTTTCCGACCTTCGTTGCAGAAGTACAGCAAGAAGCCTTATTTCACACGGCGTATGTTATGGATCTAAAGCCTTGGGAGGACGCGAGCGATCATGCGATTCCTTGATCTACGCCTGCCTCCTCTTTCCCCGCCTGGCAGCGGCCGGGCCCGCGTGCGCCGCTGTTTCGCCGCGCGGCCGCGAGGTGGCGCCATAACGGCGGGACGCCGCACACGGGACGGGTGGGGGGGGGGGGGGCGAGCTTCGCTGTGCTGAGTGCGAGCCGGTGTGAGGAGTCTGCTCCTGGAACTTGTTACAGTTGTCTCTCCTTGCACGTGGCCGTGCTCGTGTTTGCTGGGCCCTCCTTGGGGTTGGCTCTGTCCTGCATCAGGCACTTTGTGCTTGGCTGATGGATGGTCTCTTAGGGACCGCAGGCAGCCAGGAGAAAAGAAAGTTCAGTTTTAAATAGCACTGTGGCTCAAGCTGATGCAGATGTGCTGCGAGTATAATGGCACGATAATCCCCTCCTTGACATCCCCTATTTTCTGCTGTGTCCTGCAGGCAGTCCTGACAGTAATCTCTTCTCTAGAGGAGGGGATGAAGCGTGCATTTTTGCTGATTCCTGAGCACGGGATAAAACTTCTTTCTATTCACATTTGAGGCAAAAATTCTGCTGTCCTCGCTGTGCCGATAAAACGTGAAGCTTCAAGCAGTGCGTTAGGGCTGCTATTTTGACTTTCTATCAGTTTCCCCATCAGCAGTCAGGAGCCCTCACTGCTGTTAGTTGTATTGCTTCTAGAGCTACTTTCAGTGTTATCACAGTAATTTTCAAGCGGTACAGGGCCTTTTCTTCTGAAGAACAGAGCGATCCGATGGGGATATGGAAAAGAAAGCAAGCTCGAGGTACCACTGACGATTATCAGAGCTTTCTCCACTGCAGGGCTATCCTAATCTCTGATTGCTGCTCCAGTCAGACAGTCTCCTTATGAACTGTCCTTGCTGTCACACTTTCTCACCTGTTGTTTTGCTTCCTATTAACCCGTAACAACTGCTCATAAAGATGTCTAAAGGACAGCACACGTCTTATTTTCCAGTACGGTAGAGCACTTTGTTCATCCTTTCCCCCTGATGTCAGTTTTGAGAACTTAAATGGTATCTTGGAGTACTTACCATTGTTCTTCAGTCTTTCTAAGGGAAAACCAGAGGGTGGAAATGATCATGGCAGT